AAAAGCCAGCTGGCTCAAACAAAGGAGAGCACCTCCTCTCTTCCAGACATGGAGCTAGGCCGGTGGGCGAAGGACAACCGCGCAAAGCCTCAAAGTGCTCCGGGCGGCACTAGCCGTCTGTCGGACCTTCGTGCAGCGACAACTTCCAGAAGAAAATCAAAAAGCCGACTCATCAAGGTGATCCTACGGAGACAATTTGGGTTCAGCTTGGCCATGAAGCTGTCTGCGGCAACCTCTTGAACATAACTCTCAAGAGTATGTTGGTGGCGAACTCTCATACGCCACATGAGGCGTGGAACGTCGCAGCCAGCTCTGTACTCATGCGCCGCACCTCCTGCTCTCAGCCCCCCAGGCGTGACTTTAAGGGCAAGGGGGATTCCAAGGTGCTCGACAATCTTGTCCCATCTTCTCCTAAAACTACCTGGGCTGATAGGATACAATGCTTCATCTTGACGGAGGCTTCCAAAGAATGCATCTAACAGACCTACAATGGCAACATCATGTATGCTTGCATGCTGGACACGACCGCCCCCTCTTCTCCGACTCTTAGGCTGGCGGATTCGAATGAAGGCAGGCCCTGAAGGGTCGTTCAACAAGTCAGCAGGCAGAATAAGATCGCTCCGATAGGCCCGCAGGATTTCACCTGGGCGCATAATCCCATAGAAAGCTCCTAAGATGCAACCGGCAAATCTCCACCGTCGCCAATGAATAGCGATGCTGGCCATGGCTCGAACTACGCTGCCGGGGATCGGAACTCTGTGTGTCGGAGGCTCAACCTCCTCCCAACGCTGCACGACATCCCAGCAGATGTGGATATATGGTCGGGCACCAATGATCTGCTTCTGGACTATGACCACTAGGTGCCGCAAAATATAAAGGCTCTTTCCTTCTCTAAATAAGAAATGTCCAAACTCTTTAACCAAGGTGCAAAGAAGTGCGGGGCTCCGCACTGCTGAGGAAAAAGCTTCTGCCGAGATACGCTCTAAACACCAGTCTCTGAACCACCGCCAGATCTTACTCTGCAAAGCTTGGGTCCGGGCTTCAGTCAGCTGCACGCTCTCTAAACCAAGGCTCCGATCCGCCCGAGTAGGCGGTCCCGGCTTCTGCGCTTCTCCCACCCTCCGGGCGCCAGTGAAGGCGAAGCAGCTGGGATCAAAACCACCGCGAGTCTTGAGAAACCCGCAACTGTATGCAAGGCCGGCACAAACTGTTTTCGAAACAAGATCTGGGTAAGCTTGGGCAACAGAGGTCCAGGATTTCCTGTGGAAAGAGCTTCTGCCCCTAAGAACAATATGTGAATGTCCTCCCAGGCAGAAAGTGTCGTGTCCTCGAAGGGCCGAGTTGCTAAGAAACCTCGTCCTCTTTCTCCACTTTGCCTTGAAACGGCAGTAGTCGACTCTCCAGCTGCCAAGGCTCTCATGGGCTCCCACTAGGGTAACCCAAGGTGGCAACTTGAAGAGGTAGCTTGTGTCAGGGTTTTCAATCCAAAAAAGGACATCTAGATCTAAACTCAATTCGGCTAGACTAACCAACCAAAGTGCGCACGAGTTGCCTCTGGAGATCTTCTCTTGCATCGAGGGGCTCACACCTTCCTCAAATCCCCAGGGTGATGCCAAGCTTCGAACACGAGGCCAAACGGCCTGAGAAAAAGAGGAACATACCGGCGCTGCACCCCAACATTCGAAAACTCCCCAGGCTACAAATTTGCTCAGAAGGCTGCGAAGTCGTTCGTCATCAAGATTCTGATTTGGACCGTCCTCTAGTTCGAAAGTGACGGTCCATAAGGGTGTCAGCTTCTGCATCCATTTGGCAACTCCTTTGATGCCAGAGAAAAGATCCAAATAGCCAGGTCTGTCTATCAGCTCATTCTCATCACCTAGATCGCTCCTCTTCAGTTGTCCCGAGCTCGTCCATTCCTCGAGCATCTTGAACACCTCAGAACTCTCTTTGGCTCCAAGGGGGCCAAACTTTCCAAAGAAGCAGGCGCGGGACCTTCCGCAAAGTCTGTCGCCCTCCTGCTCGATCGTCTCCTGGACCCTCTCAAAAAATCCACCTTCTGAAAACTGGAAAGACGTAGGGGGGTGACCTGAAGCCAAGGCACCATCACCAAGGCAACATGAGGCGGCACTATTGCCACCATCGGGCTCTCCCTGTGCGATAGAGCCCAAAAGCTCATCAAATTCCGGCAGCTCAGACAGGGTGTGACTATCCAACCCTTCTTTACGAAGCCAAGCATCAAAACCCTCGAACTTTCGGCGTGAAAGGGGCTCCCACCAACTTGGGAAATTCCAACATGCTTTGCGAAGAGGGACTCCCCTTGTAGGATCATCGCTCGGATTGCTCTTTGAGCTGAAGTACATGAACTCAGAGTACAAACCTAAGCCCAGCACGTCGCTCAGATTCCGCTCCATCTCCTGGTTCAAAGCAGGAGAGGCAGATCTTCCCTTCAGTAAAGCTCCAAGGCATACCTGGCTATCAAGGCCGAACAGGTCCCGACTGCCAGGCGAGTCGATTCCCGCTTTCTTCTCTGCAGCTAGAAAGGAACGAAGTTCACCAACATTGATGCGCCTAACTGTCTTGCTCCTTCTCTTGTGGAAAATACGAAAGCTCAAACACTTGGCCAAAGTTTCCCAAAGAGGATTCATGGCATAGCAAATTTCATTAGAGGGCAACTCTTGATCAACTTCTAGGAGACCATGAGAGCGCTCCCAGGCCAAGCCGGCAGGAAGAAGCCGACTCCAGGTGCCTTTACGAAGGCTGTGCCGCACTAGCTCCTCGCTAATAGCTTCTGGCAGATCCGCAACCACCGAAGCTTCTCCCCAGTTTGAGGCATCTGAGGCGAAAACTCGTCCACGGGGCAGGGCTCTCAAATCAGTGCAGGCCAACGGGAGGAGGAAGGCCAGACAAAAAAGCTCGCTCTTCAACCCACCGCTCATTTCCAGCACCTCATTCTTCTCCCGCCCAACAGTTGCTTGAAAGATCAAGTCCATCAGACAAAGCATCCTCCTCCTAAACAGGTAGAAGGAAAGAAGACTGCCACCAATTGTCTGCAGAAGGTCAACCGATGAATAACCCAGGCGAACTATGTCCAAAACCAAACTTGCAAGAGGGATAGCCCGTTTCAGCGTTCCTCGAATCAGCCCTTGTTTCCCGTCCAGATCGCAACCCCAAAAGCTGCAGGTCACCTCATCGGAAAAACTCTTGTCAGGGTGCGAAATCAGCTTAACCTCCTTATACTTTCTCTCCATTCGATCTCTCAACGAACGGGCCGGGGTCGGCAAAGGAGCACCAACATCATGAATGCTTAAGGAGATGAAGTCATCAATAATGATCCCAACCATCTCTCTCCCCCGCGGGACCGGCCCCGACAAAGTCAGCAGGTTCGAGGGACTGGCGGCCCCGCAACAGAGCGCCAGGCTGAGGTGACAGGTTTGGGCTAAGGACACGGCCTGGGCGTCCCCCATCGCCAGGGTGCATAGAGCTCCAAAAAGATCTCTTTCGGCGAAAAACTCTTCTCGAAAACACTTTAGGTGACAAACATCTTTGGGGGAAACGGCACCACACAAAATGTTCCTTCTTGCACGTTCCTCTCCGACTTGAAACAAGTGGTAAAAGTCTCTCAGGTCGGACCCAGACGCTCGCAGCTCGGTCCCGGGCGGCAGGAAGAGTCGCCCCAGGGCCTCGCAGCTTCCGAGAGATCGAATCCAGCGTTTCAAGGGCCGCTCCAAGACATTCGCAGGTCGGGAGTCCATTATAAGTCTGTCCCGCTCTTCAGATTTCACCACTGCAAACATGCCGGATGCGAATCGGCCATCAACTTCTCTCGCAGGGAATAACGACAGGCGCTCACTTTTGTCCAGAAGCTCAAAGAGTCTGATCTTGTCGCCCGGTTTGCAGTGCATCCGGACTCTGGGGATGGCAAACTTCCACTCGCTGGGGTCTCTTCTCATCCTCAGAGGTTCCGCATACACGGCCGCGGACTCTTCGTCCAAATAGGGCAGAGGGTCAAAAAGCGGGAAACCGACAAACTGTAGCCGGTCAGGCTCCAGAGATTTGAAGGCGCTGTACGGAGCATGGCTGGACGTCCCAACCACGCGCCCCACATCGGCACATCTTCCATTTCCAGAGGTGGGCTCATCACAGAACCTACTATAGGTGTCTTCAGACTCGGTTCGAAGGCTTTCGGCTTGGAGTTCAAGAGCTGCTATAGCATCTTCCAAGCTTTCTATCTTCGGAGCGGCTCGCCCCATGTTTCTTGGACCAACCTCCCCTGAACATATCCATCCGTCCAAGAGATCACCAAGGCGCTTCACCATGTTCCACTGCAGTCGAGACAAAGGAGCCCCTGCCACAAGATGAGGCGGACAGCGGCTGGCGCGATTCAGGCTGAGGTAATTCAAAATGACAACAACCAGATTCACTGCCTTCTTCTTGAAAAAACTGAATTCGGTCTCGCCCGCAGTTTCTACATTTCTCTTCTTCCAGAGTGCCTCCGGGAAAGGAATAGGCATAGGAAAACCACCTCCACTGATCTCTGTCCTGGCTGCATCCAGCCTTCGTTTGAGGCTGATAGAGGATCTGGCAAAATGAGATAGCCTGCATCGTCCATCAAGGAGTCGACGGAGTCCAGCATTAAAGAAACTTCGTCCCAAATACTTGCTAGCTCGAGTGCCAGGAACATGAATTCGAGAAAAGCTCTCCCGCTCCCTAGCATGCAAACTCTGAACTCGAGAGGCCGGAGCAGGGAGTGGCCTCTGAGGAAAAGAACTCAACTTTCTGTCTCTCCCCCTGGGTGGGGCTGACTCTTGGCCTTCGCTCCACCTTTTGGGGTTCCCTTCGGCTTTCCCCCTTTCTCTCTCTTGCCGCCCTTGTCGTCGCTCCTGTCCTTCTCGCTCTCCTCTCGCCGCCCCCCTTTTCCGCTCAGCCTCCTCTTCGCTTCGAGATAGGAGTCTTGTTCTTTCACGCGGTGTAAGAAGATCTCTACCCACGATGACTCCAGCAGCGAAGTGTGCTGACTTTCTTGGGGCCCAGGTGAAGTGTGAGAGGAAAAGGACTGCAGGGGAGGCGGCGCCTCCAACAGCATAGTTTGAGCCAGAATCCAGCTTCCTCCGTCGATTGCTGACTGGTCTGCAGCTGCAACGGCCAAAGCGCACCGCGCCCGAGCCTGGTCGACATCGCCCCGAATCAGGGCGTCCCAGACACCAGCCATGGTCCGGCTCCATCTGACATGAGAAGCAAAACTCTGGATGCGTGACCGATGCTCTAGCCATCCACGAGCCGTGATGTGGCCCGAACTCTCTCCGGGCTTCACAGGCTGGGAACCATAGTCCATAAGCATGTTGCTCTCGATGCTCTTGTAAATCATGCTGGGATTCTCCACCAGTCTCTTCTTCAAGAGCCGAAGAGCGGCTCCCTTCTTCGAGGCGACAGATCCAGACCCTTCGCCTTCCAGAGATCCTCCTCCAATGTCCAGCAATTGCTCCAGGGGGTCCCTCCTCCGCTTGCTCTGAGCTAGATGGCTGCACACCTTGGTCAACTTCACAATTGCTTTTGCTACTGAAGTGTCCGAGGACGAACCGGGACGAGAACCACCTTCTAATTCCTCTTCCACCTCCTCCGGTTCTTCCTCCTCCGTCTCTGAAAGGGCGCCCTCGGTGTTCTTGGCAGGGCGCCGAGGAAGGTCTTCCATCTTGCCAGGACTCTTGCTGAGGATGTCGGCCATCTCTTGCAGGTGCGCCTCTGGAACGCCGGCCCCAAGAGCAGCATCGACTACCGCTCCATCGAGGCCTCGAAAATTTACTCTTCTCACACGCTCGGGAGTCCGAAGGGCCGGAGCCCGGCCAGGAGTTGAAGGAGCACGGTCTTTCATTTCTTTCAAACTTCCCCTCACCACGGAGGTGAGAGAGGAAAGGGACTTCTGCAACTCGGCCATACCATCTTCCAGCCTCGCAATCCGACCCGCGTCTCCTCCGCCAGCAGCTCTTTCTCCTCTGCTGGCTGAGGCGGCGCCACCGCCCCCACTTTCTGCAGTGACGAACTGATATCGCTCGGCCGAAACCTCGACCAAGCTCTCGGCATAAGGGATAAAAGCCTCTCCTGAATCTGAAACAAAAGGGTAGTCCGCCTCGAACTCGGCGGGAAAAGAAAACTCCAGGCTGGGCTCCAATTCGTTGAGAAAACCAACCCAAATCCTCTGACTGAATTCTTCTTCCAGGGGCTCTTCTCTGGCCTCTGGATGGCATGCAAAAACGGAACATAGCAGCGGCTTGCTGAGTGCCTTCGGAGGAAGGGCTCGATCAGCCACTTTGCGGGCCCAGCTTTCAAATGGGACAGCGACAAGAAGTTGCCCCCCCCTGCACAGCGATGGCTATCACCGAGCTGAAGGAGAAACCGTCGATAAGGCCAAGCCTGCCGACTTCGTAGTGTAGATTCGTATGCCCGTCAGAGAAGACGAGCGGCACTGCCTCTGCCGCCTCAGAATGCTCAGGGACGGCAGCAATCTCTTCGTCTGTCACCTCAGGCATCAGGGATGACCTCAGGGATCACGAAATGTCCTGCCTTCAAGGTGCAAAGGACTTCTCGCTTTGAGGGCAACCCGACAAAGATCGATGTGCCTGCTTCTCCGTGAGGGATGCGCAGACTCTTCACTTCACTGAACCTGCTGACCACCTTCGGGGGATCGTAGAGAACACCAGCAAAGTCGCGAACGATCACGTAAAAGCGACTAGCCTGCTTGATTTTCTGCCTTCCAGAATATCCTCTATAATCCTCACCAAGGGACCTCCGCAAGAAATATCCGATGTCCTTGCAGATGCGCTCACGCTCCTCCCAAGTCTGGCCGCCTTCCGCAGCAATCTCAATTCCCCCTGATCCAGCCGAGGCACTATTGGATCCTAAGCCGGACTCTGGATACCCGCGAGAAACGGGAACCTTAGCTGTCTCTTCCCTGAGTTCTTCCTGCAAGCTGCTAACCTCAGTGAACCCTTCTAACTGGATCTCCAAGGCACGAACTCTGGAGGTGAGGGACTTGATCTCACTTCGGGCTTCTTTCAACTCGGCCAAGGCACTCCGAATGGTCTCTTGCAATCCCTCAATCATGCAAGACACGATGCAAAGGACGAGGGCTGCGATACGCGGCCAAGGAGAGTGCAATCCAACGGGTCCAGCGGAGTCGAACCAAAATGAGAATGTCCAAAACAGGCCAGATTGCTAGCCCACAAATCAACCCGAACAGAAATGTCCAGAACCAAATCTCACCAACAATCTCAACCCCAGAGCAATCGCAGGACAAAGGTTGCAAAAGTAGGTCCTCGGGAGAGCTCAACTGTTGCAGCAGCGAAACAGCAAGAGTCGTGAGTGATCCTCCGGCAGCGCCTAGTGCTAACCGCCCGGGCATACACTTTGATTGGAAGCTGCGGGCCGGCGAGTGATTATGCAAACATATGGTGGTTGATCAATATTCTTTCATCCTGGAATGGCCATTCATCGCGGAAAAAAAGATATCTTTCGCGGATCTTTCGCGGCCTCATCGCGAAGCATGGTCCTACAACCATGTCTAGCCAACATGAGCCGGAACATGTCATAGTATCACAAAATAGGGAGAGACATCTTGCAGCATGACCCCAGTAGATGGTTGAACGTTTCCACAGCTACTCAGGGTCACTTGCAGCATCTGCTCGACAATTGTGCCAAATAGAGTCAGGCACAACTCAACCCAATCCTCGTGCCAGCTACCAACACAGGGTGATACAGCTTGGGGAATGTTGGGGGGCCTCAAGCTGGGAACCTAGACTTTAGCGGCACATTCGCGAAACTTTCGCGGATCTTTCGCGAAATTTCACTGGTGCTTTCCCCGGGAAGCCGTAACATTTGCAAACATCTGCGCAGCCCGTCAGAGCAGCTGCAGGTCGTTGCCTCACTGTCAGGGCTGTGCCCACCCAGATTGCTAGCCTGTGACAGTGGGGACAGGAATCGGAGAATCCTTTACGCACTGCCAGGGCTCGGCACGGAAATGTTGAGGCTTCAGTTCGTTAGTCTGTGACATATGGGGACACTTCCGCCCACTGGCTCTGCCGGAGGATTGCCTCGCGTTTCTATTCTTTATCAGTCCGGTAGAAAGGAAAACAATGAAAGCGATGACCTTCGATAAATCTTTCGCGGAAAAAAAAGATACTTTCGCGAACCTCATCGCGAATCTTTCGCGGATGGTTCTAACAACATCTGAAAGGCTGTTTTATATAAAACTCCTTACACGGGGTTTTCGATCAACTCCCATATATTATTAGATAGAGAGAGAGAGACATACAAAATCATACAAATATCATCAAGTATCCCTCATCGTCTTCACGTGTGTTCAACATCAAGAAAGAGCCTGACTAGGTCGTGTAAAGGTGTATGAATGCTGAACGACATGATACAAAGGACGCTGCTCCAACTTCAAGAAGACACCATGTTTTGGGCGTCCATCAGGATAGAACCTAGGAGTGAGTAGTCAATCAAGGGAACAAAAACTGAACTCTACTGTAACAACTGCAATCACAGAGCTAGAGTATACATCTTCTTGAAATCTCAGGCATTCGCACATCCTTCGGGTTCCAAAAGTCTCCATCAATGGCATTTGAGCTGCACCTTGGGTCTGGTTCAGGCTTTCGGTCCAGCTTTTTTGTCAGTCAAGTCCATTCCTGATGAGCAGGACCATCGAAGTCTACCCGACAAAAAGCTGGATGCCAAACCCAACAGGTTATTTGCTGATCGTTGAAGCAAAATTACAATCTTGGGAACTTGCAATTCAGAATTGTGAAAGAACTTCTCTAGAAGCGCTGCGCACCTTGGCAAGGTTGGCGCGAGACTGAGACCCAACGGAAAGTGCCAACGTTGGGCCGATGCTCAGCTTCCGTGCTGCACTTCTCTCTTCTCCAACACAGCCAATGCACAGCCGTTCTGGGGGTAAGACCATGGGTCCCAAGTAGTAGTTGCTACACACTCAGGTCGAGTGGAGGTCTCCTCTTGAAACATCACGTCGACCTTGTCACAGCGAACTGCAAACTTTCCATGCAACGTTACACTTACACAGTGTCATACAGTGTCACTGTTGATGAGCTTCTTGCGCGCAGAAGTGTGAAAGGGTCCGTGAAGTTGACGAAGATGTCCTCACCTTCGCAAGAAGGGAACCAAGGAAACAAAAGGGATGCAAAATGGTACATCTGAGGAACCTCTTACATACTTCAGCTGATGCGTTTGATCTACAGGACGTTTGAAGTTAGGGAACCTGACTGGTACAGTACCAATAGAAGTCGCTACAACTACGTGTATGATGAAATCTAGGAACGTGCAATGCTCTTTTTACGTAAATGCCAAGCCGCCATCGAATTTCTGGGGCACATGGTTGTCGCCTCAGCAACTGATGCGTCTATATACATGTGACACAAAGCATATCAAGTCAGGAGTGTTTGCTTGTTCCATCCTTAATACGGCCTACGTTTCAACAATGTTCGCTTCACAAAGCACAAGCAGGGGCGGTTCAACTCGATGCCTCCCCATCGAACAGCATGGCTCCGTGTGAGAGAAACATCATGCGGAGTGTCAGGACCTTGGCAAATCAAAGCTTACTTGGACAAAACAAGGCTGCCTCAAGCAAAGCATCCTCAGTCTGCTGGCAGTAGAACTTGAGAAACAAGTGCCCGTCATCCATGCCCATATTGAGCATTTCAGAAATGAATCCTTCGGGCAGTGGATATCGTGGCTTGTTTGCCCTACATGTCCAAACAAATCCCGACAAAACCTTCGTCTATTTCGATGTCGGCCACAAGGAGGACCAGCTGCGACCACACACCTGTTGTATGATTCAAACGCCCTCAAATTGGAAATCAACCGGAGAAGGAATGACAAGGAACAATAGGTAATATTTGTCAATTTGTCCAATTTGAGCGCCTGAACCGGCACTTCTTCCAAACCACCACTCTTGCCTTGGTTTGTGTGGAAGGAAGGTGGAAGGATGGGTGCAACTTGAAGTATCAAAAGATTTGCGGCAAAAGGCCACTGAAAAAACTGGAACTTCACGGCGTGTGTCAGGATATCTCCTGGCATATAGTGGCAGGTCCATGCTTAGCTACCTCAGCTACCTTCAAGTAAGTTTCTTCGCACCTATCCCAGGCATTTCGCAAAGGACCATGAAGATTGCAGTGGGTACCAACCTCGCAACAGGAATCACATCACAGCAAATCAAATCTCCTGGTTGAAACTGTCTTTGCCGGGCTTATGGCCAATGACTCGTCACCTAAAACGTTCCTCCCTTCCGTATGTTTGAGAAGCTGACGTCAAAGACAAAAGCTGGGCAAAGCCAGCACTAGCCAGAAGCACAACCAAATCCCAAGCAAGTCCCAGTGACCTAAGCCATTGGTAAGATCTGCGAACCTTTCACAAACACAATCTTTTAGGTGCTGGCGGATTTGTCATTTGCCGGAAGTCAGACGCGCCAACCTTGACTTGCTCAGGGAGGACCACTCAGCCAACTTATTGACCAGTGCAAATTCACTGTATGTACATATGTTCACGGGACCTCCTTGTATAATATAGCGACCTCCTTTCCGTGCAACTGAAAAGTAAAGCAAACCCCTCACCTTCCCAGGCTTGCTAGTATTTAAAGTTCACAAAACGTAAAAATACTTATCCTCCTCCTTCCTCCCGCCTCAACTCACTCAACTCACTCACTCAACTCACCCAACTCACTCACTCAACTCACTCACTCAACTCAGTGGCTCAACTCACTCACTCAACTCACTCACTCACTCACTCACTGACTGACTGACTGACTGACTCACTCACTCACTCACTGACTCGCTCACTCACTCACTCACCCAACTGACTCACTCACTGACTCGCTCACTCACTCACTCACCCAACTGACTCACTCAACTCACTCACTCACTCAACTCAGTGGCTCAACTCACTCGCCCAACTCACTGACTGACTGACTGACTGACTGACTCACTCACTCACTCACTCACTCACTCAACTCTCGCTCAACTCACTCAACTCACTCACTCAACTCACTCACTCACTCCCTCACTCACGCAACTCACTCACTCACTCACTCACTGGCACGAGTCCTGAACATCAAGGGTCTTATGCACAGTCATCTCTGTCTGATGTTTGTTCATTACCGCGAATTGTCTTTTGGATGGTTGCTTGAGGACTTGAGGGCCATTGGAGTTTGGCAGCGGACATGTCTTGCACTTGATCTTGAACTTGTCAGGTTTGCACCTTCAGGCTGGGCAACCGAGGCTTTGCATCGTATCTCGTTTCCTTTTGAAGGGTTTCAAAGAGTTGAAAGGTTGAAAGAATGAAAGGTTGAAAGAAAGAAAGAAAGAAAGAAAGAACGATTCAAGGTTGTCAGGAAAAGCTGGCAAGGTTTGATGTGAAGCTGGGGAAGGGTTGAAGGGAAGCAAGAAAGGGTTTGAAGAGCAGCGACAAGGGTTTCGAGATCAGCGACCAAGGGCTGTAAGTCTAGATCAAGGGTTTGCAATGGCATTGCAAGTTCAGCTTTGTGTCTCGCAGTTGCATTGCATCGCAGGTTTAGCATCTTGGATGTTTCTTGCGTTTTCTTGCGCAGTTGCATTTCACTTTGCACGCTTTCAGGTATTATGGATAGATACTTACTTGCATTGCACGGTAACCCTAGTTCACCTTTTTGCTTCCTGAGCTCACTCAACTCACTCGCCCAAGGGGCTCTCCGCCGCTGTGCCGGTGTGAATAGCGTGGCAGGCGCAGCACTGGCGCAGCACTTGCGCAGCACTTGGTGCTCTCCAGAGGGTCGGATGTACGCCCTGGCGTCGCCCTGGCTCGTGGGTCTCTGCCGCACTTGGTGCTCTCCAGGGGGTCGGACGTACGCCCTGGCGTCGCCCTGGTGCTCGTGGTTCTCCGCCGCTCCCCCGTTGTGAATCGCGCGGCAAGCACAGCGCTTGGCAATGGTGCTCAGGCGCATCACTTGGTGCTCTCCAAGGGGTTGGACGTACGGCCTGGCGTCCGCTCTGCCGGTGTGATTTGCGTGGCAGGCGCGGTACTTGGCGTCGGACGCACGCCCTGCACCACCACCACCAACCACCAACTCACTCACTAAACTCACTCGCCCAACTCACTCACTCACTCCACTCCACTCCACTCCACTCGGATCAGGGCCTCAAAGAAGGCTGGCTTGTTGGTCATCTCCTCTTTGACCAGGCGTTGCCAAGTAATGATGTCATTGACCAGCACCTTGAAGACCCCGTCTCGCTATTCCCCATAAACATCAGAGGCTGTTTGCGCCTCAGTGTGGAGGCTGGGGCGTTGGTTGGTGAAGGAACCGGCTCCCAGCATTGACAGTCATTCTGGCCGTTGCTGCGCCATCTTCCTCTCATATTCTTCATCTTTTGCTTCTCTTGTCCTGCGCTTCTCGCTGTTGCCTCGGTCTGCAAGTCCAGAACCGGGGTGATCTCTGGAACACTTTCTTCATCTTCCTTTGTCTTCTTTGTCTTTTTTCCTTCTTGCGGGGGCTGCCATGGCGCAGGTAATCTTCCTTTCTTCTCTTGTACTTTTGTGTGGTTCTGATGGTCTTCGTACCTTGGAACGTTCAAGAGATCACTTTCGCTATGCTCTTTGGCCCCCCACCTGGCTTGGGCTTTTGGGAGATCATGCCCTTCCCATCCGACAGCTTCCCGCGTCATTTCTTCTGCTTCTTCTTGAGGCGGCGCAAGTTGGTTGAGGTCTTCATACTTCTTTTCTCCTCCTTGCCAACTTGATTGAAAATCTTCAACCTCTTCGACTCTCTTGCCATAGTCGGCACCTTCAAGCCTTGAGGCAGCTCTCATACTGGCTGCAGAGACCAAGAGACAGCGGCCTCTCCAACTCCTTCACAATGACCAAAGCTGTCCTCGCCAAAAGCCAGGTTCCCTATCCTTCACAATGACCAAAGCTGTCCTCGCCAAAAGCCAGGTTCCCTTTTGAACCAAGTCTGCAGGGGCTTGGCGGCGTAAAAGTAGACCAGCTCACCTGGTTCAAAGTCACGAGCGCCTTCAAGTCGAGCGCGCTTCCGTAGGAAAGCTGCACCTCCAGGGATCCTCAAACCATATTGGTACATGTTAGTGATGGCTGCGGTACGTCCGTCAAAAGCTTCGATGATGAGCGGCTCCTTCCACGCCAACGAAGGTTTGGGGTTCTCCCCCATCAACAGGCCGCCTCTTCTTCTTTGATCATCGCTGGCTCCTCTCACAAAGCCCAGCAAGGTCCCCTGCTCCTGCCGCCTTTCCTCCAAACGGCCATGCCATGATCATTGTGAGGATCCACTTGCTCCAAGTACGAGAGAGCATCCTCTCTGTCCGCCTCCTGAGGATGTCCCAATAGGGCAGTGAGATAGGCTCCAAAGATGATCAGCCACGCTGGCCACTGGCCATGATGGAATGGCACACGTCCATGCTCTTCTTTCTTGTCTTCTACCTCCTTCCCCGGTGGAGTAGGGGTAACCTCCTTCTTTCTTTCATCTCTATTCTCAAGCTTCTTGTATCCTGGTGTAAAAATTCCCACATCTTCTGGAGGCGCTGGCTCATAGCTGAAGATTGCGATTGAAGAACTGACTGCATCACCATCAAAGAACTGCTCATCAAGGCTCTCATGATACTCAGGCATTAGCCATCGACCTCGTCTTTTCACAAAAGTGGTTCTCATCAACCCTGGTGACTCTTCCCCTTCTCAATGAATGTGAGATCAACAAATCTTCAAGTCAATAAGCTTCCAACTAGCATTGAATCCCCAACCTGCTGCCTTTTTCAAAGCTTCAGGTACTTGTGCCTCCAAGCAGCTTTCATCTCCATCTCTAATGACTCTAATGCGGCCTTGAACTGTCAAAGACTGATTTTGCAAGTTGAGCGGTACCTTTAAGTCACCCTTCTTCAAGGTTTGCTCTCGACCATTAAAGGATCTCCACTATCGTCCATGGGCGCTTCCTCTTTGCGCCTTTCTTGGGCCCTTCAACGCGCATTCCTTTACGCACCTTCTTCCTGTTTCTTTCCTGAAGGCATTGCCCATTGCCCTGCAGCCGGCCACGCAAGCTCTTGTGTTTTGCCACAAACGCTCCACGCGCGGCCCGTCCCCTCTTTCTGACTCCGTGTCTGTGACCAGATCAATCCCTTTTTCATGGGACGTGGAGGATTCACGCTCTTCCGCGTCATCGGACTCTTGTTCTTCTTCTCCTTCTTCTTCTTCCTTCTTCAGCTGCTGCTTCAGTCGGCACCCCCGGGCACCATGGTTAGCTCTTCGAGGTGCGCCATCCACTCTTTTACCTTCTTCCTTCTCATCCTCCTCTTCTTCTTCACTTTCCTTCTCGTCACTAGCATCTTCATCACTTCGCGGTCCAGGGCATATATACGCCTGATGAAGCATCTGTTTCTTCTTCTTTTCTTCTTGTCCTCCTTTGAGTTCCAGAACTGCTGCATCTGATGGGTAGCCTCCGTCTCGAAGTCGACCAACTCAATGCCTGGTAACAAGTCCCGGTGAGCTGCATCTTCTTCTTGAATTCAATTCCATGCTCTTGCGCTTGAAATGGAACTCGGCGTTCCAACGACTCAGCTCGGCAGGTCCAATGAGACCAGGACAGTTGCTGCCTCCTTGCTTTAACATTGCAGGGTAGAAGCATGCTGTAGAACTTGCGATCGGTGCACCAGCTCCAAACTACCTCCTCTCAAGGAACGCCGCGCATCGTCAGAGCACGTTGGCGCTGTTCGCGCCACGCAGAGTTCCGACAGCCTGAGTCTGCGATGGCCAAGCCAGGTTTCTGCGCCTGGATGAAGAAAACATTTAATGGGTAGGCTCATACCAAAACTCACTCACCAACAAACGAGGTCGAGGTGGTCCATCCAATGAGCTCTTCCATCATCTCTTCACCAGTCAGGTTCTTGACCTCGGGACATCCTTGCTGATGCGGCAAATCACTTCCGGCGGTTGACCAATAGACTCGATAGACAACATGCTTCAGGTCACATCGACAACATCCTGCAATTCATCTATCTCTCCCTCTCTCTGGGGCCTCGTCGTTCTCTACTCATCTTCGTGGATCTTGGCGCACCGGATCCGAAGCGCTTTCTCGATGCCCGTGGAGTCACAGCAAGCGCCAGCGCTATAGTAGACATCGAAGCGCTCCTTCCGGCTCAGGGGGGCCTTGCGAAGCAACTTTTGAGCCCAGGCACGATCAGACAGCTTGGTGCCAGGGTCCACTCTGCTGCATGAGCTCGAAGCCGTCGCATCTCAGCAAGATAGTGGAAGACACTCTCGCTAGGGGCTCTCCCTCCACCTCTGCGCTTCGCCAAAAGCTCGTCCAAGACTCCAAGACTTGCCAAAACAGACGAAGGCCACCAGCTCCTGGGTAGGACGTCACAGGATGCTGTTCAACAACATCCTGGCCTCCTCCTTGGTGCGCAAGTAGACCAGCGTGGCGAGCTCTTGAGGTTCCAATACATAGAGGCATTGTTGCGCTCACTTCACATCCAGAAGTCCTCGACGCGAACCGATCCCAAAGAACTCTTTGGCCTGGATCCTTCTTGAGCCGTTGACGAAGCATTGAACGGCTCTCTGAAATGGGCGCCGAGGGCGCCGCTTCATCAGGCTCTTCGTCACCTGTCAGGAGGATCAGGGCCATGACCACTTCCCCTGGCACTGGCGTTGGCAGGCAGCTGACATAGGCATCACGCGCATGGTGACGAAAAGGTAGACCATGGCACAGTCATGGGTATGGGATGGGTATTCCATGAGGAATGGGGCCAACTCCAAACCCATGTCCAACATCCACCATGACTTGCATCATCCCTGCAAGTTGCCATGTCTGAGTGGCTGGCTGGAGACCCAGGGGTGATGGCTGTGTTTAACTGGACCCTGGACTCGAGCGCGTTATTGGCTGTTGGGCGCTGGTCACTTCCAGCATCCGCAGCTTGTGATGCCCAAGGATCACTTGCTAGGGATTGCCAAGGGTCCGCTGTCTCCGTAGGCAGCGCCACAGCACCCCACCACGGCACCTATTCGCGACAATGTTCTTGAACCGCCCTCTAGCTCCGCTACCAATGTGGGTGACGGCGCGGTCAGCTCCGACAAAACCGAGATATCCCCGAAAAAGCGGCAAAAGGGAGAACCGGTTCACGTCGACCGCCAGAAAAACAAGCAAGCAAAGCGCAGTGAGCTGTTTTGCAAGCTGAACTTGCGCATCCGGACGTCTGCAAAAGCGGCAGTGAAATCAACTCCAAGCCATGCAACCACATGCCCAGCTCTCATCACACCAATAACAACTTCTTCCACGCCGAACTTGTGAAGGGTTGCCACGGAAGGGGACACAGCGCCAAACCCATTGCCGCACTGGGAAGTGGGCAGGGTAGGCAGAAAGTGAAGAGATGTTAACACGCCAGCGCGCGCACAAGGCTTGAAAATAGGAGAGGAGATGGGCACCGCACTAAGGGGACTAAGGGAGGGAAGGACAACGAGAAGTAAGGTGACAAGAAAGCCTCTCTAGTTGCGATGGTGGAGGATGTCCTGGAAATATGTTTCCCTGTCCATACTTTCTTTGCTCGCGCCCTCCGATACCTTCTTTGCTCGCGCCCTCCGATACTCGGAAGGCAGGCTGCGCAAAAAACAGTCTGTAGGACGAATGGATCTTTGCAAGAAGGATCAACAAGGGTAAAGAAGTAGGGCAACGCACCGGGGAAAGGTAGTAAAAAATGTGGTATGTGTTGTTGCAGCGATTGCGCACCCATGATACCATTGTTAACTTAGGCGCTCTATGTAGTTGCTGCTCTGCTCTACGTTGCTCTACCTGCGCGACTAGTCTAGTCTACCTTACCCGTACTCTAGTCTTTGACATATTCATTTCAAAATCAAGTTGCGCAATACATCGCAATACAATGGTTTCCGCTTAGGGCCAAAACATGCACAGCCAACCAGGACTGTTATATAATGTTATGTATATTGTTTGTCAACCTTTGATCACTTCTACCTTATCTTGCAATGATCTACACGCCCTACCCTGCGCTAGTTCTCCTGTTTGTATTCCACCTTGCTATACTACATTCTTAGTTTTTGCGTTATCTGTCTCAAACTCAAGTAGCATGTTTGGTAGAATACTGAGAAATTCTTGATCAGAGTAGAGGACAGGAGTTTGGGCGAGCTGAGCTTGCAAACGGCATGGAGAGTGTGGAGTAGTAGGCAAGGTGTTGACCGTCAGAAAACAAAACTCTTTCTATACACCTTAAATTGAAAAGAGCTCTGGAGCAAATGTGCCCACTCCTACTTTCGTGCCCTCTGCCAACATATCGCCCTCCACTGTAGAATATACTATGGCCTCTTTCCTTGGGACTTCAGGTTTCATACTCTTTATCATTAACCTGGATACTATACACAAGGGCGAAGTAGGGTAGAGTTGACTGGCATCGAGTAGATAGAGCGGAGAAGAGGTCGTTATATTATACGTAAAGGTCTCAATCACATACATATAATTTATACACATATGTATACGCCACAAATTACATACAGTAAATAAAATCGTTCCTTTTGAATTAGCCTTGAGTCTTGAGTCTTGCGTGTGGACTCCTGGGAAGTCAAGCCCATCCACAAGCACTTCCAGCTGCGCCAGCTGCCGCGCAACAAAGCGCACTTATTGCAACTTTCTGCCCCTGGCGCGGCATATCAATTTGTTATGCCATGAAACACGGCGAAATGTGTAACTTACATGACCTGGAACAAACCAAAGCCAAATGTCAAGCTAAGCTGCGAACGCAGAAACTATTTCCAAGAAACTTGAGTTGCACGCTGAAGCAAGCTCTCAGAAAATGCAAGCAACACCAGAACCAAACACCAGCCTGAAAGGAATGTCTTGTCAAGTTAGTAGCTTGTTGGGGATCCGTTGGAACCATTCCGCTTCATTTGAAGAAAATCTGGCTTGCATTAGATGCGTCAGACGACGCTCAATCTCAAACAGTTGCAGCGCTCAACGCGCAGCAAACCAGGGGTGCGCGCATATATACAGTCTATGTTTTATATATGTATGTACGCATATGTGGCTCAAACCCTTGAGGTCGCAAGCCGGCCCCATACAAAACCGGGTACAGGTCAGTTGGCCATTGAAGCCTAGTCTCTGAATCTCGAACTGATCTTCCTTGCATGGTCCAGTCGATCTTCTGCGTCACGGACACTGGCATCACCACCTTTGAGGGCCGTTTGCCGGCTGGGTCCACCATGTACAATCTTGTGAGAGGGTGAAGCAGGGATCTGCCCAGGCCTTCCTAGCAAGCAGGACAAGACCCACGTTGCCGTCTTTGATCACACGACATGGGCCTTGTGGAAACCGCATGAAGCCTATGACAAATTCCCTGAGCTCCACACGGGATTGGACTTTGAAGACTTTTGATCAAGTCTGGCCACTTCTCTTCTCCACCAAAGAGTTGGTCAACAATGAGCTGTGGCGAACTCTCCAACGTGACACCCAGGCCAGAGCTAGTCAAGCCGACTGACATCTTGGACCTGCAGGCCAACATTGGTGGTGTACCAAGCAGATCCTGGGGGAGCGAATGAGCCTTCGACGGACAATACTCACTTCATCCACAAGGCTGCTGACGGGGAAGGTGCCTCTCATCCAGCAAGAATGCACTGGCCTATCCCTTCCGGAGTGGGGTGGAGTGTGGTCACTGAAAGCTCCGTTTTCACTCCAAGAGCATGGTGGCTGAACTTCGAGAGCTCCTGGATCAACCGTGTGTGGCCATACCCAACCCGGCCAAGGCCAGGAAGACCCGAATGGAGATCATTCATGACCTCCTGGAGGCCCAAGCCCAGGCTCAGCCTGGCGTCCACTTCCTCAAGCTGGATCGGGCATACCTTGGCCCGCACCAAAGAAAGCTTCGCACAGTTCATGGGTGAAGCTAGAGCCAAGCCTTTGGCAAGGCCATGTCACGCACATGATGGTGCGCATGTCCAAGAATGTGGAAATGCACTCGCTGCAAGGCCCCGGCCAAGATCATTGAAGACAGGGTGCAGTTGACACCGAGGTTGAGGGGACGTTGCACTTCAACCAAGTCAAAGGACTTGAGAGACATGTTCCGCTAGCACCTTCTTGCACTTCCAGAAAAGGTGTGCCACCCCCAAAAAGGGTACACATATGTTATGTGATGTGTACATACATATGTGTTACAGTATTACGTATATGTATATGATACTGTACATATGATTGACATCCATGCTTGCAACTGTTACGGTACATGTCCATGTGCCTTGTCGTCTCTTCTACTCCGTTTCAGGATTCGTCAGGAATGCTATTTACTTATTTCTGACATCGTTGCATCCTTATAGCACTGCAAATCAGGTGACTGGCTAACATTCCAAAAACCCAAATCAATACAAGTTGAAAGAGTTGCATTCATTGAACAGTGCATCAAGTCAAACTAGTATTCCCATTGAACCACAACATGTTACAGAGAGTTTCCCTGAACATCTTGTACAGCTTGCAACCAGCTTTAGGAAGGCCCAGGAAGGCCTTGTCGGCTGCCCAATTCTTAAAGTACGCGATAAGGCAGTAGGCAAAAACAACAGTGATAGCCTGCCAACTTTCTTCATTCAACTCAAGGAATTCTGGGAAAACAGCCCTATGCGCTTGTGAAACCACACACTCGTCCATGAAAAAGCGGCCTCACTTGCACAAAATGCTGCTGCAAATGCGGTGGCCAGCTGATGATGTAAACGGCTCACATCTGCCAGAGCCTGACTTTGACGCTTGAGTTGCGTCTTTGTCTTTCTTTCCTATCAAGAAATGCACTCTTCATCTGTGAATGGGCCACGGCATTGGCGCTGCCGGCTCCATGGCGCCACAAGTTGTGTACTGTAATACGGAAGAGGGGAACAGCCATCAACGCACCTTGGTCGGCTGCAAAACAAGAACTCACGGTGAAGGCTCAGAACAATTTAGGGATCCAGCCCAAAAGACCTGTAAGAAATGGAATTGCCTCGATTACACAAGCTTCCAGGAAATTCAATCTTCAATATATGCATTCATCACTTGCACCAGTGTCAATCCTCCCATGAAGCTCTATCTTCAAAGCACAGAAAACGGCTTACATTCTGAGTTTACATCTGCAGGCCAACCGATAAGCTTTCTGCCATCGCAACCGCGCAAGCTTTGATAGGCAAACTCCGAAGTCCCTGGCCAGAATCCGTGAAATCACAATGCCCCGACAGCCGACCTGGCCAATGCCTGGGCTATATATGGGTCGAAATCACGGCTTTGTGTGTAACTGTCGCTGACCTTCACAAAACAAGTGCAGAATCCGTGGCAGTGACGTAAGAGGCAATCACTGCATAGCAAGGGTGGCTCAGGATCTAACCCACCAAGCTGCTCGCAGCGTTGCGAAAGTCCCTTGCACCCAGCAGGCCAAAGCGATGATGTAGACCTTGTTGGGTTGCGCCCCCTTCTGCAAGTCTTGCTTGCGAGATCCCGAATAACTAAATAACCATGAATCTGGAAAAACATATATATATATACTGTAATGAGAAAAAGCAAGCAAACCCAGTATTCTGCCTACTCGGTCCAATTATTTTCGGCGGAACAAGCGGTCTTTGGTTGAGCCAGTCGCAGCACGGAGCAAACCATGGCTGGTTGAGACCAACGCGTTCAATCTCGCCCAAATGGCAAGAGACCACGGCCCTTGATTGCCAAACACGGACGAATGATTCATCTCAGCAGTTGTCCGCATCATTTTGCTAGAGTGGTTTGCTCGCTGAAAGTAGAACACGACCGCTCACATTATTCTCGTCAACGCGTCTACTCTAAATCAGGAAGGGCATCCAAGTCCAACTGGGGTTTCAATCCGGCAGTAGCTCAGTTGCCAAAGCAATCTTACGCTACATTCGCTGGGTCGCGGCAAAACCCTTGACAACCTCGCAGACTGCTTTCACGAAAGCAATAAAACTCATCATTGGGATCTGTCTACGCAAGTCCGCTGGGTCGAAGTGGAGGCTGACTTTCTCTGTGGAAACACATCCAATCATCCTTATTGATATGCACAAGTGTTCTTGCTTGGTCTGTGAGATGCACTTGGTGAGTGAGCTGCACATGTCACAACCAGCCCTATGTATATACAAAAACAGGCACTTCCCAACGCCATGACAGGTACATTCTATTGCGTAATGTCTTTCTTGACAGAGGCAACAGGCATGCGGAAATGAGACCCGATGCACAGCTTACGCAAGGTGAATGCCTCACAACTTACGCAACCTTACGGTGCTCAGGGTGTTGAATGGTTTCGCGCACTTCTCAGCTTCAACGATCTGACAACGAGTTCACCTTGAGAGGGTTTGGGCGGTGCTCAGCTGTCACACCCAAGCAGCGCGCCCTGCAACACTACAGAACTTACGCCAAGCCTGCGCGTTGACCAGAGCACCCTGCAAAGGACAAGGCGGCCCCCGCAAGGTTCTTGCTTCCTGGACTCAGTCCAACCGAAACACGCATTGGTCCTGCTCTCCTTGCTGTGGTTTCGGATGCCCGCAATTTGGTTTTCTCCAGAAATTTGGGTGCTCGGCAGTCAGTTAGTTGCAGTTTTTTTGTCCTGGTCTACTGATGCGCTTTCCAAACTATACAGTTACAAATGCTACCTTGCTTCTGGCAAAGGCGATCAGCGACCCGAACACAGCCAAATCAAGATGCTCGTAAATCAAGCTACGAACCCACCATGAAACAAAATATCTCCGAAGGAACTGATTGAGTCAACGACCCATGATGGCAGGCTGATCGATTGCACCTCAAATTCTGCTCCAGGACCCCATGGGCCGCACTCGACACTTGACGCAACCGGGCAGTTCAAAACAAAAACAATCAGTGTTCAAATGTGTTCGGTGTACTTGCTATATTTTTTAAAACACTCACCAGCGAATACTGTTGTTGGAAAAAATGAGCGCGCCATCAAACTACTTCAGTAAAAACTGAGTCACAGGTGTTGTTCTTATATCTGTTTTCATTGATCTTAACATACACACATGTTACATATATATATAGACGGTTTTTGTTTGTGTATATAGACCTATGCGTGCACGATGATGTGTATGCAAACTCCGCCAGGTTCGCTTGAAACAGTAAACATTTTTTCACTCACCCGCTTCAAGCAGCGAGAGTTTCTGCCCACTGTGCGTAAATCTTTTGTCTATGCTCATTGACATCCTTACAAGAAGTCAAAGGCCATCACTGGCACATACAGCGAAATTAGTGGAAAAACATACTCCTAAGTAAACAAATCTTACCAGGCGGGTTTTCAAAGACACATGCGCACGCAAGACGGCACAAGTGGAAGCATCTTGCCCGCCCCCCAAAAAACAGAGACATTGAGATACACATGCGTGCTCACCCCTCCCGCAAAACCCCCTTAAGACACACATCAGGGCGCGAGATGATTTAAAAAGATGCGCACGGAAAAACACACAACAAACCTTCGGGGCAAAAAGGGTCACTTCCGAAATCAAAATTCCCTGCGGTATGAGTAAAAGCGTGCGTTTGTCGTGCAAAAAAACGCAAAGCAACATTGCAATAGCATGTGAAACACAAATGAAAATAGACATGGGTCTGTATCAAAATATGGAGCCCAGCTCAAGATCTTTGGATAGGTGGTATGATTCGGGTATGATTTGGGGCATGATTCGGGGTATGATTCGGGGCACGATTTGCCTCTAAACGCTTGTCTGTTGGTGTACGCGCCTGAACATAGAGCGCGTGCATCTTTTCGCAAGCGCCACTTATCATGGCTCTTACATCACACAACCAGAACCATGTAGTTGCCAAGGCTTCACCAGGTTGAAGTGAGCACCGCACACCGCACACGTTTTTAATTGTCACTGTCACTGCTTGAAGAATTTGAGCTGGAGCCTCACAGCTGATCACCACGACGTACCTGCTTGGGCTTCCAATTACACTCCAGTCTAAATCTAAATTTCAATCTGTTTGGGTGGAGGTAGGTCGGCAGACTTGCACTTCGGCGCAAGGAGCTTTCGTGGATTGCTGAGCCTATTGAAACTACAGGCCTTCGATTCTTCAGACGCCTCTTCACTGCATCCCTGTTAATTTCGTAGGCCTTTCATACGTACTTTATCCAAATGGAAAGCGTGTGGCGACCATTGAACGACTCGATGAAGGACCAACATAGGCTTAAGCCTCCAAGCAACTGTCTGCGAAAGGTGGAAAAGTGCACCAACCCTCCGCACACAACTTGCATGGCGCTGGGTCGCATATAGGTCTCAGCCATAAGCTTTTGTGCGACGGTCACATACTTCGACAACTTCTGCCCCCTTAGGGTACGCAAGTCCCGCCGTCCGTCTACGACTGCCCCCCTTCGCAACGACCTGGCTGCGCAACTCTGGAGAGACTAGAGAAGCAGGCAGCGGCTTGTTGAAGCAGAGGTAGGGATACCAGCAGCGGCGGCTCTCGCGAGGTTCGATGTGGAAAGGTGACATCCCAAACCAATGAGAAGGGTCGCAATCTCACCTTGCATCCCTTGGCAAAGCCTGTTGAGCGGGGTCAGGTTCATGATCAGGCGGTAGATGGGCATGCTTTTCTACCCCAAATGAACCATTAAGCAACTCCGAGTCGACTCACGGACAACCCCAAAGACGCCGGCCCCCAAAAACCCTGCTCCCACTTCTTCCCAATCCGAGTCCCGCACCATGACTCGAGACTTCTTGTATGGCCCCCACTCTCCCAGCGGTTTCAGGAATTGTGGGGGAATGTTCAATGTACTGACGGGCGACGGCAGCCAATGTCAACTCAACCACTCCTATCTCTTTCGGCAACGCGGGTTTGATTAATCCTCCAATTGAAAGTAAGGGCCGTTTTCACTTCGTAGTCATTTGTACGAGTCCGGACACATGATCCCAATCAAAACTGTCCGTCACCTCCTGAATGCCGTTCAGTCGAGTCACATCTCAGGCCAGGCCTCGAAGAACTTGAGGGCTTCGGTCTTAGCCATGCTGATCCTGGGGCGATCCCCCTCCGCAAATCACTCAAAAGATCTGCGCCCATTTTGCAGAGCTTCGTCCCCCTTTTTTCGGTCGTTCGATCGGAGTAGGCTTGCCCCGTCCGTACCCAATGCGATAGCCCCGGTGGAAAAATAACAGCTGGCGCCGGGGGGAATTCATACGCTTCACCGCTCCAGCTGCACAGGGATGAGGTTCCCGAAGTCGTGGCGTCAGCCAGGGCAGTCTCTGCCCCCTCAACCAGCGTCTGCTGCTTGAAATTGGCGCCACCAGTTGTCATATCTTCTTTATCCTCTTTGCAGGGGCCATGCCCTTATCAGCTCTCTCCTCCCTAGGGCTTTCCTGCCCTGCGCTCCTCATACCTTCAGGCCGTCTCTGTATCTCTTCAATCCCTTCAAAGTCAGGCTTTGAAGCCCGCTTCACTCCTTCTTGCTTTTCTCTTTCCCTTTCTTCCCTTTGCCTTTTCCCTTCTCTCCCTTTTCGCTCCTCTCCTTTCCACCTTTCCCCCAATCTCGCCAGCTCGCACTCTGATGCGCCTTCTGTTCGGCCCGCTGCTCGGCTGCGGCTATAGAGAGCTCCTGCCTCGAAGAGAGCGTAGCCGTGTCGCTGGGAAGGAGCTCGCGTCTCTGCGCCAAGGTCCAAGCAAGGCCAGTAGCTTGAGCCTACTGTAAGGATTTCAATCCATCGCCGAAGGCAGCAGCAACTTCAAAGTGAGGTGTTGCCCGGCTGGATCCCGAAGGTCTTCCATCACTCTCCCCGTGAATTGGCAGGGATTCCCGTAGTATAGGTTGCCTCTTCCCCGAATACCAAACTCCCCCGATCCCCGTCTCGGCCAACTGCTGGCCTCCTCAAAGCTCCTTGCACCCTTGGAGCTATCGCTAGGCGTCTCATCACCTTTGGCGCCATCCTTTCCCTGTCCCTTTTCCCCGGCCTGCGCCGTGGTGAAGTAATTCTGTCCTTTAATGACGTGCTTCAGCCCTTTCCAACGCCTTGGCTTGAGCCCTTCCTGGGAATGATATCCCGGTGGTGAATGCGATGGTGTTGGAGGTCCCTTACCTGTTCTGGCGAGGTTTCTTCTTCTGCTCGGACTTCTTTCTTTTCGTCTGGAGTGGCAGGAGACTCGATCTTTTTCTCCTCCTCCTCCTCGGTCTCAGGGCCTGCACTGCCCCGCTTCTCCTTTCTTTTGCTCCTCCTTCTCGATCTTGACCGGGTCCTTTCGCGTCTCCGATATCGATCTTTCTTGGGTGTGGAAACTGCCTTTATATCTCCACTATCGGCTCTTTCTCTGCGTCAGCGTCCTTCTCGCGCTTGACTGCGATCCTTGCTGAGCCTGCCTCAGGGTCTTCTTCTCCCCGGCGCTCACCCTTCTCTTCGCTACCTTCGCCTCCTCCTTGGCGCTGCTCTTCCCCTTTGATTTGTCAGTGATCGGAGCACACAAGGCCTGCTGTCCGTTCCGCCTCGAGCTTCTCGCAAGCGTCTTCCACAGTGTTGGTCACCTTGTGCAGGTCGTTCACCAACTGATCTGAAGTGTGTGGAGGAGCACAAGCGAAGACTAGTCGCTGAACCCCGGGAGCACGGAGGAGCCTACCGTGACACCCTTTGCAGCTCATCAAAGCCGAAACACTACGGAACAAGAAATCAAGGTCCGTAATGTTTTATTTCCCGGGGGCGGGACACCGTGTGACAAACTTGTTTTTCTGCGCTGCTCAAGGCTGAAGCGTCTAGCTAGAAATCAGTTTCGATCGCATTGGTGAGATTGAGCTCCAAAGAGGTGGTTATATATATATATGTGTGTGTGTGTGCCCAGACATATCATATGTATCACATACCTCTACATGTATACATGCATGTGATACACATACATATGATGTATGTATGTCTTTAGTTATCTATTTATTTATGTATTTATGTATGTATATCTATCGATCGATCGATCCACTAGATAGATAGGTAGATAGATAGGTAGATAGACAGATAGGACAGATAGGACAGATAGGATAGATAGATAGATAGATAGATGGATAGATAGATGGATAGATAGATAGATAAATAGATAGATAGATAAATAGATAGATAGATATATAGATAGATTAGATAGATGGATGGATGGATAGATAGATAGATAGCTAGGTAGATAGATAGATAGATGGTCATCACGATCGTTTCTTTCTGCGGTATGTGTATATATACACACTTAATACACACGATATATTTAATTACAATTTAATATATGTGTTTCTTGCACACTCACTTTGTAGAAAAACCCTGAAACAACACGGTGCCATTCTGTGCCTCTGAGACAGCCTGATCAGGCACCCCGCTCAACTGCACATCCTCAAATGTCACCATTAAGTGAGGAGTTTCTGCATCTCATTGGTCTCTTGTAATCTCAAGAAAGAAGACCAAGAAGAACAAAGGAATGCAAGGCCCCTCTTGGTTCGTTCTCTCTTCATGTTCGCTCTCTCTTGGTTCTGTTCTCCCCTCTCTCAACTCCACACCTCCTCCCGATGACTTGCAGGAGCCCATGACGGAGCCTCTGAGCTGCAAGCTACACAAAGGGCGCCACGCGCAAACAAATCCAACACATGACACAGCACAACTTGCAAGATCTGGAGTGCTTATTCAAATCCAACCTACATTCAGCATTCATTGCAAGAGGTTTTCTTGAATGATCTGGAATGGCATACAGACATCGTTTTGCAATGTTTTTTTAGCAGCAAGAGCACGCAGCAGAGTTATGCTGGTTCCAAAAACCAGTATTAGTATTCTTTGCCCAGGAAAGAAGCATTCAATCTCGATCAAGGTCAACATATCAACAATGACATTCTGTTTTCAGTCCTTTCCAAATAGGGTCTGGTCTGAAGCGAAACACTCTGGAAGTACTTCAGACTTAGGGATTAGGAGACCGCTGAGCAATACCTTCCCCTAGCTTGGCGTTTATCGTGTCTTGTTGCCCAGTTCAGGCACTGACCCAGTTTCCATGGACGTTGCACCAGCTCCTAAGGGAGCAGCGAGAAAAGGATGATGATAAAGAAAGAGCACAAACAACGACCTAAATGGTCCAAAGAACAAAGAAAACAAGCCAGAAAGGAAGAAAGAAAGGTGCTTCACAGGCCCTGACATATCATGGGGAGCTTCACAGTGTTTCTGTGCGAGAAGAACAAATAGACACAAAAAGATCCGCACAAAAAAACACAGGGTAATTTCTTATGAAGTATTCCTTTCCAGAGAATTGCTTCGAAATTCCGGCCTGGGAGATTGGATCCTGGGAACAGCGAAACCAAGCAGCGAAGCACAGAGCTCGACTGGAAAGGTCCTGGCAAATGAAACAGAAAAAGTACTCGGAACCGGTAACATTGGAGTACTGTATCTTTGTTTGTATGCGCATATAAAATTTTATATGGACCTACACGTGTTTTCTGTGGGCCTGCCCATGCAAAAGCTGACAACTTCAATTGCATGTTCAAACTGCTAAAAACCGGTTGTTTTCAGTGCTAAAAAACATCAAAACAACAAAACAAAACAACAAATCGGGCAATCTGGGTTCAGGTTGTTTGTCTTTTTGGGGGGGGCGCCCGTTGTTGTTGCATGTTTTTCGTGTTTGTTGTTTGTGTTTTGGGTTTTGGTTTTTGTTTACTTGTCTTTCATCAGAAGGAAGGGGCCTGGGCACATGCGACTTGCCAGTATGTGAGCTGAGAGACCAAAGGAACTGCAGTCTTGGAAAAGGATTTTGTTGCGCTATGTGATTATTGTTATTGTTCAGGTGGATTTCCGTTCAAACTCCATCAATTTGTGTTTCTTTGTGCTCAAACTGATCAATAAACAAAACCTAAATACACAAAAACAAAAACAAAAGAAAAAACAAATGCCTGAAACCTGAACCCAAATGTGCCTGACGTTTGTGTTTTTTTGTTTTGGGTTTGGGTCAAAAATTGCTAAAAAAAATACGATGTGTTTGCACTAATCCTTCTGATTTCGAACGATTTCCGCTTACACTCTTTTTGGTTCCAATTCATGTCCACTTAAATTCCTTGTGATGCCTCTTGATTTTGTTTAAAGTCTTAAATCAGATCTTTGAATATTGTAACGTAACTCCCTACAATATTCTCTGCCCTTTTTGGCTTTCATAAATACATCCCCTGCAGTCACGTCTACGCTTTTGTTTTTTTTGTATGAATTCCCTTAATTGAAAAAAAAAAAATTGATTATCCATTGAATTCCTTTCCTCTTGATGTCCTTTTAGTTATTTAACCAGTTTCGTTTAGATCCCTCATTATATCTTCTCAACTTGTCACAAAAATAGAAAACGTTTCCACAAAATTAGCCCAGTACACTAGAAATCTTGAATAAAACCCTCTACATTAATGTCTGTCCCTTTCCGCTTTAATAATAACACCCCCTCCCCTGGATTGATTATATAACGTCTACGCGTTTCCATTGTTCAGTGATATTGTCTGCGCATTGCTCTGGTATGACATTTGAAAAAATAATCACCTCCCCTGCAATGATGTCTATGCGTTTCATTGTTCATTACTGTTATTTGTGAGCTCTCTTGTTGAAACTCCTTGTGGCCTTTATTGATTACCTATTGAATTCCCTTTGGCTATTGTCGATTTCCTTGGAATCATTTTAATTGCTGTTGGTTACCTTTTTGAAGTTTTTGGGTTTTAACTTGTTTGCTTATTTTCTCACTTAATCTAATCCCTTATCAAAGCATTTCAAACTATTGCAAAAATCGATTCCGCAAAGGGGTTAGCCCATTGATACACTAGAACTTTTTTAAAAATATTAACCCCCATACAGTAATGTCTGCCCTGTGTTGCTTTCATCAAAAAATATCCCCTGCAATCGCATCTGCGCTGTTCATTGTTCATTATCTGTTCTGTGTGAAGCCCGTTTTTTCACTTCCTTGTTGTTTATACTGAGTACCTGTTCATTTTCTTTTCCCCACATCACTACGTGGGGCTCTTGTTTTTCGCTCTGCACCCGCCACTCCATACCCGCGTCCGCCACTCCGCCGCCACTCCGCCGCCGCCTTCTTACACCACTCATCATACACCACTCATTGTTCACCACTCATCTTACACCGGTGAAACTTACACCACTCATTGTTCACCACTCATCTTACACCACTCATCTGACACCACTCTTTCTACACTACTCCACTTACACCACCCATCTTACACCACTCATCTTACTCCACTCATCATACACCCCTCATACCACACCACTCATCTGACACCACTCATACCACACCACTCATCTCACATTACTCATCTTACACCACTCATCTCACACTACTCATCTTACACCACTCATCTTACACTACTCAGCTTACACCACCCATCTTACACCACTCATTCTACACCACCCATCTTACACCACTCCACTCATCACACACCACGCATCTCATACCACTCAGCTCATCTCACACTACTCATCTTACACCACTCATTGTTCACCGCTCATCTTACACCACTCATCTTACACCACTCATCTTACACTACTCATCTTACACCACCACTCTTACACCACTCATTCTACACCACTCATCTTACACCACTCATCTTAAACCACTCACCTCCCACTACTCATCTTACACCACTCATTGCAGATTTTGTCGCAGGCGCAGTACACAGAGCCTCCTGGATCAGCTGCGGCGCGCGTGGGCGCCGCTGGGCCGCGTGGCTGGGGGCAGATTTCGTGGCAGGCGCAGCACTTGGTGAGCCTGGACTGTAAATTTCGTGGCAGGCGCAGTACTTGGTGAGCCTGCAGCGCAGATACTGTGACAGGCGCAGAAGACTCAGCTGCAGCGAGGGCACCGCTTGGCCGGCTGAGTGCAGATTTCGTAGCCGGCACAGCACTTGGTGAACCTGGAGTGTAGATTTCAAACCAGGCGCAGTACTTGGTGAGCCTGGAGTGTAGATTTTGTGGCAGGCGCAGTACACAGAGCCTCCTGGATCAGCTGCGGCGCGCGTGGTGCGGCGCGGATGGGCGCCGCTGGGCCGCGCGTGGCTGAGTGCAGATTTCGTGGCAGACGCAGCACTTCGTGAGCCACAAATGTAGATTTTGCGGCAGGCGCAGTACACAGAGCCTCCTCCACTCATCACACACCACTCTTCACACACCACTCATCTTACACCACTCATCACACACCACTCGTCACACACACACACAACTCATCTTACACCGCTCACACACCACTCCACTCATCACACGCCACTCATCTTACACCACTCACCACACACCACTCACCACACACCACTCACCACACAGCAATCATCACACACCACTCATCTTACACCGCTCATCACGCACCACTCATCACACACCACTCATCACCCACCACAGATCTTACACCGCTCATCTTACACCACTCATCACACACCACTCTTCCTACACCACTCATCTTACACCACTCATCACACACCACTCATCACACATCACTCATCTTACACCACTCATCACACACCACTCAACTTACACCACTCATCACACACCACTCATCACACACCACTCTTCTGACACCACTCATCACACACCACTCATCTCATTCGTTTTTATCGTCCAGTATCTTTCCGCCCTCTTTTCTTATTCATCTCTACTCCTCGTTGATAGTTCTTACAAGCTTAACATGTGGGGGGTATCCGGTCCCTTTTTGTTTTTTTATGTGCTGTTGACTCCCTTTGATTTATTTTGATTACCGTTTACCGTTTAAGCTAGTTGGTTGATTTTTGTTTAACTCCCTTTTTTAGTCGTATTGCAAATATGTATTCCACACACGAGGTCGCCCAGTACAGAAAAGCGGCTGACAAGCAGGAAAAGGTAGAACAGCTGAGAAATATGAAAAGTCGAAGAGCTGAAATGCAGGAAAAGGTAAATCAACGGGCCCAGGGGGTGAGCATATATATTTATATATATGTATATATATATATATGTTTTGTGTACGTATGTACTAAATATATATATATATAAACATGTACACATGTATATATGGTATGTTTTTCGTTGTGAAGGATCTGGACTGCGCACTCCGAACCAAATGCAGCGTGTCCTGCATGCCTTGTTCACTGACCAGCGCCCTCCTGAGATCAAAACGCCAGAATGACTCGCATTGAGTTTTTCCCGACAACATACTGTTTGGCAGCATGTTGTTGAATCTCACGCTTACAAGTCAATAAACCAGCCAATTCTTTCAGAAGTCCTAAAACAACGCGAGTGACCCACTGATTCACAGAAGGTTCCTCCAGAGAGCAGTTTTACCTAACGCAAGCAGGCGAAACACACTAAGGCAGCGGCTGACGATCGCATTCCTTTTCCGAACTACAACCTTGCGCGCATCCAAGCATTTTAAAGCAAACTAATGAGTTCATGTGTGCCTGTTTAGTGAGTCTGGTAAAGCTGTAGAAGCTGAGGACGGTGCTTACAGCAATTGAAAGCCTGAACATCTCACACCAGCTTGGCTTGTGCTTTGAGCTTTTTGCATTGGAAGTCTAAATATATATATATATGCGTTTTTCTTGATACGCAAAAGGGCTGCAGTATGCAAAGTAGACATGCTGTGATGTCCATGATGCAATGTACATCGATCGCGCTCTACCTGCAACATGGTTCACACTCCTTCTGGGGGCTGTGAGACACTAAAATGCTTCTTTGAGCCTTTGAAACCATAATCAGCTTTTCTTCCATTCAGTCCTTATTTCTCTGGAGGCTTTTTCATGTCTCTCAGGAACTGGGTTCCTAGAGATTGTTGGCATTGTACGTGGTGTTCTCTCCCCCTGACTGCGCAGTCCAACAATTCTCGATACTTCATCATTTCTTCTTCAGCCATATCTGCTGCTTCTGGGAATCCTCTTCCCAACAAGTTGTAGTATCTCTCCATGAGTTGTTGTAGTTTTGCTTCAAGTCTACCACACACTTGGTTTGCTTTCCTACTTCGTACTGCTCTCTGAATGATAGTCCTGCATTCAACTCTCCCAACACGTCATAAGTGATGATAGCGTGTATGTCTGATGTTTCTCTCTACAAAACCTCCGTTCACAATCAATCCACACCAATCCACTGTGAATTCTCCTGGCGTAGTTGTGTAGAGCGTCAATTCTCTCCTCAAGTTCTTCTTCTGTCCAAACTCTAACTCTTTCTTCAACTTCATCACTTCGCTTTTCATCTCTTTTGACTAGAGTCTCCATGTCTCCAAATTACAATTGGTTTGCATCAGCCACACCAAAATAGCTGATCTCAAAGTGTTTTGTAAATCTTGAAGAGTACAAAGATCCCTGCTGCAAAACCAATAATATTGAACACAATGACCATGAAAATTCCAGAATTTCCATTCTTCATTGGATTTCTTCACTGCGTCCATCTCGCATTGGACGTTGTCTCCTTTCAGGAATGCTTCTGTAATCACTGGCTGCGAGCCCTCAAAAGCAACCATTCTGACAATCACTTTGGCAATCTTAGTGACCTTGCCTGCAAACTTCTTCTTTCGTTCAAACACCCTTCTCTCACACACCCACTCTGATTTGATCATCTCTGCCTCAATCGCCAATGAGGTTCATCAAGTATCTGATTCTCTGTCCCCCAAGTGGCTTTGTATTGAGGTCTGCTATGTTGCTGTCTGTTGCTACTTGTACCATCTTGAAGTCTTTCCTGCTCTGAATCCAAAACAGCTTTCCATCCAAGCGTCTTACTTTTCCAACTCCTCTCTTCATCACAAGTTGGCGTGCGCTTGATGAACCTGTGTAGATGTAATGGCCCACCTTTGCCCCAAGAGCAAATTCAAGAACTGCGCGGTTCCTTTCCATGCTGGAACTGTCGATTGCGTAAGATGCAGCTGTTCCTGACGAGGTCCATGAGTTCTCGGTTCTCAGTCAAGGCTTGCCATGCCTGCGTCTTGGCTGTGCCCTGAGATCTGTTCTGTCGACCGTGATGACCTGCGAGGAACGTTTGACATCGAGGAGAGGGCAACTGGCGTGTTCTATGTGGTGTTTCAATCCACGCCAGCTGGCAAGAGAGGCCCAACAGCCAACAGTGTCTACAGGTATATAGTGGTGCCATTGTGCGCGTCTCTGAGTGGTTCAAATCGCGTGAACATTGGCTTGGCCTTGTGCCTCTTAGCCACGCGCTGATGTGATTGCGGAATGTTGTTGCACTCTTGTTCACAATACGGACATATTCGCGGCGCCTCCTCAGGCCTGATCTTGTTCTACTTGTTGTCAGAACTTGAGGCCTCAAAGATGCGTTGGGCTCTCACTGCAATGGCGGCAACAGGAATCTGGCCTCAGGGCTCAGACCTGCTCGTTGTTGTTCAAGCTTCTCGTAGAGCTTGCGCCAGGATTCCTGCAAGAACCATCGAGGATCTTGAACTGCAACCCTTTGGAGCACTTGAGACTTGAGACGTTGACTTACTGTGGCTTTTGTTTCCACTCCAGTCTGAATCTGAGAGTGTCTCCAAGCACCAATAGCTTTCTCCTTTCTTGACATAACCTTCTCCTGCTTGTGGAAAGTCAGGTACTAGACAATATTCCATAGTCTGCTTCAAGTATCCCAAGAACTTCTTGAAGTGATGAGATGACATTTGACATTCTTGAAGCCAATTCCTTCAGTGTAAACGCTGCATCATACCTCTCTTGAAATGGGTAGAAACCTGATCCAACAATGCTTCTGAAAAGGCTAATCTTCTCTTACTCGCGCAAAACGCCTGATTTGTCTTCCAACTGAATTGAATTGTCTGACGGTAGTTGTTGGAGCTTGACCTTTCCAATCTGCCCTTTATAGGCCTTCAGCATCTGGTGGATGTAGTTACCTGGTTGGATCCACAGTCCATCAACTTCTAGTTTGTACTTCTTGCTGACTTTGTCTCTGACTCCCTTGCTCTTGTGTAGCAAAAGTCAAAGCTTACCTCAGGAATACTTCCTCTCCGTACTCCATCGGCAATTGGCATATGGCGCGCGCGTCAACCCGCGCCTTGCTTGAGTTGCTTCATCTGGCATCTTTGCAACACTTTGTCCTAATGCCTCTCTAGTCTCCTGAGCTTTTGCTTCACTCACGAAGCTTATCTTGGTGTAGACCTTTATTTTAGAGCCACTGCCTGAAATGCCGAGAAATGAACAGGCTGCTCTCAGAGTTGCCAAAGATGAATCCTTAGTCAACTCTACTCCATTCACCAAGACTTTGTCTACATCCACCGGGCTCAACTGTAGTTCACACTCAAGGTCAGTATCTTTCTTCTGGCCTTCTTTCTGACCTTCTACCTCCTTGTGGGGGGCGGCGGGGGTCTCCTCTATTGCTTGTCGCACGTCTTTCTTTCTCAGTTCTCTGTTCTCAAGCTTCCTGTATCCTGGCGCAACTAACCCCATATCCTCTGGTGGCGCTGGCTTATAGCTGAAGATTGCGATTGAAGGAATGACTGCAGCATCGTCAAAGAATTGTTCATCAAGCCCCTCCTTTTTCACCATACTTTCACAATAATCAGACATTAGCCATTAACCTCCTCTTTTCACCAAAGGGGTTCTCATCAGCTCTGGTGATTCTTCCGCTTCTGTTCTGGAATGACTGTGGAATCCACAAACCTTGAAGTCAATAAGCTTCCAATTAGCAGCCCCCATGCTCAATGAATCTCCAACCTGATTCCTTTTCCAACGCTTCAGGTACTTGCGCTTCCAAGCAGCTTTCATCTTCATCTCTAACGACTCTAATGCGGCCTTGGACTGTCACAGAGCGATTTTGTAAGTTGAGTTGTACCTTCAAGTCACCATTCTCCAACATTTGCTCTCTGCTGTTGATCCCCCAAGCATGTTGCATCAACCTTCCATAGCAAAGTATGGGTTGGTTCGCCTTTGAACTGAAGATCGCATTCTCTTTGAGAAGAACTTCTCAGGAAATTTCATCACTTTTCGCATGTCCTGCGGGGATACGATTTCCTTGTTCATCTTGTAGCTTGGTCCTTGCGCTGAACTCCAACTCTCCTTCCCCATGATCTGCCACGCTCAGAGGGAATAATGCTACATCAGCTCCACTGTCAATAATGATGGCCACATCCTCATTCTCTTCCCCAAGTCTCCTCACAATGGGTTCATCATCTGAAACCTCAATCTCTCTTCAACTTCCTGGAATTCTGGGTCGCCTTCATCTATAAGAAGTGAACTACTCTAATTCCCTGATCTTCTAGATCATCATCTCTTTGATGACGGGCTCACTGTTCTCAATTCTCTTGACCGCTGGCTTGGTCTCTGCAGAGCTACCTTGCTATGCTGTTGGCCAACTGCATGAGTTCGCACTGGTGCTCCTCCTGGAGATGAATAGGTCTGGTCACTTGCTACCTGTCGAATGTTGTTCCTCCGGCTTTCCGCAAGTGCAACACGTTGCCACACCTTTACCTTTTTGGCCTTTGCCTTTACCTTTGCCCTTGTAATCTTCCTTTGGCATCCCATTGGCGCATGCCCTTGGTAATAGTCTGCACTGCTACTAGCCACCATGGAAGTAGCCCACTTCTGCTGAGAGCGGTCCCATTGCAACACTTGTTCCCTCAAAGTTGAGTATTGAACACTGTCACCAACTGTCAGGTTCAAGTTGGATTTGAGTTGTCCACTCACACATCTCAAAAGAATAGCGGATTTCAACTCTTATTGAGTTGTAGTCCTGGCTTGACTGTCTCATCAAAAACTTCTTCACGCTTCAAGAGTTGAGGTTGTAGTGCACTGTTCATTGAAAATGCTGGCCATGTAGTGGCTGCTCCCAAGAGTGCTAAGCCTCTTACCTTTGAAGTTGGTTTCAAAGCTTTAGTCAAACTCGTCCAGCCATCAAATCCAATGGAGTCTTCCACAGCTTTCACAAATTGCAGCGCTCTTCCTCTCATCAATGAAGCTAACAATCCATAGAGCTTGATGCGCCTGGTCTTTTCTTCTGACGCTGCCAAGTCTCAATCAAAGCTCTCATTGTCATTTGGCTTGTCACGAATCTCCTTCAGTCCTTCATGTAGCCCCCACCAACTGCGCTCAAGTACTTCTCAAAGACCCATCCATGACCACTCTCTGAATGCACTGATCTCTTCCTCTTGTGACTTATAGTCAAAGATGTTGGGCTCCGCTATCAATTTTGACCAATCTGTTGTTGATGGCTTCTGGTCCTCAACTGCTTTCTTCAGCTGCTGATGCTGTTGCCAGCGTACTCTGTGCTATAGTTTGAAGGATTTCTCTGATTTCCTCCATCTCCTCTTTGTACTAATGTCTTTTTGTCACAATGTACTGGGTTCTTCACCAGTCCAGCTGTCTGGGTTCCAAAGGCCCCAAATCTATGGCTCGAAATCGCACCCGGGATCCCAGTGACCTAGGGGCTTTTCAATCAGAGCTCCCGAGGGGTTACCCTGATCCTCGCTCTGCTACCATACGCACTTTATCTTGATACTCAAAAGGGCTGCAGTATGCAAAGTAGACATGGTGTGCTGTGATGTCCATCATTACATAGATTGTGATCTACCTGCTGCAGAATGATTCACAATATAGAGTTTGTATATACATATACATTGCTTTCCGTGAGAACTGTGGAGCGCCTTGCATTTGAGGCTCTTGGCACGCCAGTTGTGAAGACATATTCCTCTGAGATTTCTTCACTAACAAGCGTAACAAAAACACTCTTTTTGAGCAACAAGCTATCGCGAAAAGCGATATACTCAGCGTCTCCTGGTTTCCTTGGCCTTCTTCGTTTGGCCACCCCTCAGAGTTCGGAAACAAGTTGCAAATCTGCACGTCACAAAGCTCACTTCCCACAAAGGCTGCAACGTCCCACAAAGCTCCAGGAAACTTTGTGCCTCAGCGGTGGGGCCGTTCTTTGTGTAATGTGCGCTCTCAAGCGCAACTTGCACAAGTCGGGAAAACAGCACACCAAACACAGGAATCAAATGGGCAAAGCAAAACAAATTGCACATCCTTCTTTGGATACCAACTGCCCATAGCAGCTTTCACAACGCGTGGTGGAAGAAGAACCACCTGAAGAGTGGACACCAAACTCGCAATACAAGAAAGATAAGACCGTGAAAGCATACTCGTGGCGGAGTGACAAACCAAGTCATATAAGTAGTCTGAGGTCAAGACATATTCGGTGTTGCGCAGCAAGGGATGGTCCAACTCGATCTGAAGGACCTGCGAATCTCCATCGGCCAGGGAAAATGAATACATCAGGAGTAACCCACAGTCTGCAAAACGTCGTCTGCATAAATCCGCAAGGAGGAGAGCTGTTGCCCCTGAGATTTCACTGCGGGTTGTATTGTCAATGAAAAGTGAGAAGTGAGAAGCCTCCCCACTTGCCAATACACGGGCATCATCTCCAACGGTAATTTTGTGGCCTAGGGCCCGCAACGAGTCAACACTGTTTCTGCGCTTTCCGGTCTGATCACCGCAACCAAACAACTTCAATTGCAATGTGTGAGCCACTCTCGAATCTAGAAGTAGCAAGCCACGCTGCTGCAGAGTGTCTATCAAATGAGCAGCGTGGTCCTCTGCTTTGTTGTTTCTTTAATCATATTATATATTATATATTACTGTACTATATTACTATATACTGTCTCTGAATGACCTCCATCTCTTCACCCCAGTCCTTGTGCTTCGCTTGCGCATTACATGGGGACCAGGACATGCTTAAGCGGCGCTTTTAACAAGGCTATGTATGGCAGGATGCAGACTGCACCAGGCTCAGACTGATTGCGGCGACTTGTTTTTCGTCATAAATCATGTTCTACAATATGCAAACAAGTTGCGTGCGCAAAGAACTGATACGATAACTCTACATATTGTGCTACATTTAGGTGCAGGAAGCTTCACACCATGCAAATTCAGGTTCAGTGGTCCAACCATCGATGAGGCAAGAAGAAATTGAGATTAGTATTTGGGAAACTATATGGGCTGGTGTTCTTGGTGGTCCAACATAAAAGCAAATGCTTGATATGATACGCGTGTCATCTTTGGCACCAAAATAAGCTATGCTGTCAAGGCAATGAGGCCTTTTGGACATCAAAAAATCCCGCGCACATGTGCCCGCACTGTTTGATGAAAACCATAACCTTAGCCATGGCTAGGGGAGCATTACTTTTCGATCGAATGGAATCTTCATGTTGCCAGTGTTTCGGTTGCCTTTGAGGCAGAAGAGAAGAGATCTGACAGATCAAGACACTTTAGGAGTACCTGTGTGATATGTTCAGGTTGGGCCAGTGTGTCGGACTGTAGGGGGAGTGTTGACACATGACCCCTGTTGTTGCTGCAAGTGCTTGATTGTTTTCTCAAGAAAGAACTGAAGTCAAGTCCATCAGTTAAAGTTATTGTTGGCTGTTTGGGATTGCTGGGCGTTTCCCCTTCTGCAAAATATTCCAAGCAACTGGTGGGGCACATCCACAAGGTCGATAAAAGAACTGCTGCATAAACTGATGCGGTCACGACACAAGCCAAGCAAGCAAGTCCGCAAAAGCTCAGGGCTGCTCAAAAAAATCCAATTGGAACTCCCTGGACCGCATCTGTCGAAACGCCCACACTGGCAGGCCTGACACGAGGAGCAAATCTTGACCTCCATCGCTGAAACTCGGAACTTGCCTACCTGATCTGAACTACCTACCTGAAAGGGAGAAGACAAAAGCCAGGGGAAGCAACCCACCTGTTCGTTCAACTAGCCATCCATCGACCTACCTACGCTCTACACACATCTATCACACCTACTGATCACTGATCCTCTTTCTACATCCAAAGAGAGACCACTATGGAAGGATATCTGTGTATCTATCTATCTATCTATCTATCAGCCTTTTTCATTTCAAATGGTTATCCTGGCCACGACGACTCCTGCGCCGCCCCTATGAACTGGGAGCTGTGCTTTCAGGCGTCCCAGCGCCCTGTGTGCTGGCGGCTTGCTTTGGCTTCGCTGGCATCGCTGCTTTCTGGCCGCCACCATCCAGGAGTGAACCTTGGAGCGGGGGCCTACACGCAACGAGCCAAGGAAGCAATGCCACCGACCTGGACCACGTTGCCCATTTTTGCATACCTTCCAGAACAAGGAGTTGCAAGGAGCATTGATGCTGATCTTTCACTTCTGTTCAGAGATTCGGGACACGTGCGCCACCTTTGCATCAGGAGCAAAAGCCCAAGACTTGAACACCCACGGTCGTGATCTCAATGGTGGGCTCATCTTGTCCATGGACTTGAAGCAGGCATATGATCGCCTACCCAGGCCTGCACTGGCCGAAGGACTTTCCCTTTCTCAATGCCCCAGGAACCTCAGCGCGGTACTGCTGCAATGGCTTGTGGGCGCCAGGTACGAGATCACCCATCGTGGTCGACGAACCTGGATACCCACCTCCAGAAGGGGTCAGGCAGGGGTGCAGGGCATCCCTTGATGAGTGGACTGCCTTTCCTGTTCTTGCACACATTGACAGGCAAGTGGACCCGTCCAACACTCCCTATGAGTGGCTGAAGCAACACCTGATTGCATACGCAGATGATCTTCTCTTCAACTGGAGGCTCACAAAACACACAGAGTTTGATCAAGCCATTCAACAAATTTGGATTATCGTGGACGGCGTCGAGGGTCATGACTTGCAAATCAGCATGGACAAAACGGTCATTCTCTTCCGCATTGCTTGAAAGAAAGCTCGAAGACTACTCAAGCACAATATACAACATCATCAAGGCCAGAAAAGGATTGCCATTGGACAATCATGGATCAGAGTTGTTGACAAACATGTTCACCTGGGGGCACAGATCTCATTCCGAGCCTTCGAATCACAAACTCTTCGACGTAGACTAAAAGGCCGAGACAATGGTTCACAGGCAGACATAACCTACCTGTCAAAGATCGGGCACAACTCTGGGCGGCTAGCATCAGGGCTAGCTGCTGCCATGGATTGGCATGCTCTGGGCTCAGACCGGACGGCCTCATCCAGCTCATCAACAGAATTCGTGCTGATATTCGCGCGCTGGCTCGTTCGCCCAACCACATCACGCGTGAACCTAGGCTTCACAGCATGTGCGACTAGTCGAAAGTCCACGCACCGACTGTCTGGCCTTCCTTAAAGGTCTTAGACCACGCAGCGCACGCGGTAAAGATTTTAATGTGGCCCAGAGTTGTCATGCTGTCCGGCAGATGGCCATGTTGGAACTTCTCACATCCAATCAACAGTAGTCATGGGATGTCCGCTCAGGTGATGTTGCTGTTCCTCCACCTCCTGTCCCTGATCCTTCTCATGAAGTTCCTGAATCAGCCAAACGATGCAGACTACAGAAGGAAGGCCAGACGCCGCTGACGGCATTGACCTTGAGGCAGGTTCAGGTGTGGCCGCCAGCGACTCCTTCATCCTGTTCACGCAGCTGGCCCCCTCAAGGGCCCACGCCGCTCAAAGGAATGGAAGAAAGCGGCGGAGCAGAAGGATACCAAAATGGCACTCTGCACTCTGCTATTCATTGCCATGACGCTGCAGGAACGAATTGCGACATTGTCCACGGCAACGCCCACGAGCGAGATCTGGAAGGAAGCCATGGATCATCAAGTCATCGACCAACAGGGGCATGGCCATTCCTGGCGTGGACAAAGCCCCAATCAAGATGATCAAGTTCATCGAGGAGCTGGTGGAGTTGGCCACCTCAACAGATCATGTCCTCCGCTTCAAATGTTTGAAACCTCAAGAGATGGAGAATGGGAAGGCCAGGATCAGTCCATGGATCCTACAGCTGCCCCTGAGGGAGGAGAGGGCTCCTGATGGCACTGACCAACAACTCAACTCAACGCTGATCCAAACCAGAACCACACCAAATTAAGGAGAACGCACTGGCCAACCACCTCAGCAAGGCATCAGCTTCCCTCTTCAGCCCGAAGAACTAGCTGGCTGGCTGATCTCTCTGAGATTGGCCAATGCGGGAATGCGGGGAATCAGCGCTTAATGCAACTCAGGGGTCCTGTTTGGCGCGAGCTTGGAAAGGGCCCCGATTGCACAGGACAATCACAATCACTGGGTCCGGGGCTTGGGGACACGCCGGCTATTGAAACCTTTTTGACTGAATGGGACGGGCATCAACATGATGCCCATGAGTTCCTGCAAAAGTTTTTGAGCACCATGCAGCCGCCGTGTCTCAACTCCCATTGGTAGCGGACCTACTTTGAAAGGGGTCAAGAGGTCATTGCTGGATTTGAATACACTCCAGTCGAGGAAAATCACCACAACCTGCAGGAGCTTGTTGACCAATGGTCATCATACATGGGTAAGCGTGGACAGGTGAACCGATCAAACAGGAGTGGATTCTCGACCTCCCGACAAGCTATGGCTTCCCATCAAGCTGCAGGACTCTCAGCTGGAAAACCACGAATTTGAAATCATTGGAGGCATCGCTCACAAGGGCGCACATAAAGCCGGCCCCCTACAGGCCATAGGAAGGTGGAGCTCCTTTTCAATGCCAACCGTGAGGCCATCGACCTTGGCATGGAGGTCCCGCGCGCTAAGGAATAGGTCTGTGTCTGCCTGGCCCGCGGGAGCTTCGAAACCCTGCAGGATGGCACACAGGTACTGACATGTACAATGTGGAGGCTGCCATCGAGTTCTCCAAGCCTGTCTGGACTCTCAGTGCCCACAGTCCACCCATGAGGACCTCCGGACGCACATCTTGCGCAAGCATCCGGAATATGCTGCTGTGCTGTACCGTCCCTTGGGTCGGAAAGAGTTTCATGATGCTTCAAGCTTGCCATGTCATGGCCAAGAGCATCTTGGGAGTAAGACCGTTGAAGCTGGTTCACAAGTGCCACGTGGCTTTGAACCTGTGCCTTGCCTCATCATAAAAAAGAGCTGGCGGCGCCGCGGAGCACCATCTTTCAAGTGCCTCAGCTCCAGGAGGAAGCCCAGCAGCTAGCTGCGCCGGATCTTGCCTCCTTCCTGCAGCGCTTTGATGGCACTCCTGGGCCTAGCGACCTGGCTTGACCTCTATGAGTTCAGCGCTGCTGCCTGCCGATGTGCCTGCCGCAGCTGACTGAGAATGATCAATTGCACAGCGATGCTTTCCTTCCTGGCATGACCTGCCAGATGCTTGGCGCGCCGGTCGGATTAGATTGATTTGATTGAACTCATTGTTGCGCAGACCTTGCGGTGAGATCTCCATCTCACATGGGGGATTGAACTTCCGTTTGTTCCATTGCATTCGATTGCAGCTCTGTTGCCACAGCGGCTTTTGACCAGACTGCATTGTTCTCATGCTCCCAACGAGCACCACGGCGCATAGCTTCTTGACTCTCCTAGCCTTGAAGCCGCGACGAAGGTCGTGTCCGCCCACATAGTTTCCGAGACTTCAGAGAATGCCACAAACTGCCATCTATCTATCCATCCATCCATCCATACGATTCTATTCCTCTATCACTCTAGCTCTTCGTCTCTCGATGTCGCTGTCTCTCTAACTCTCTCTCTCTCCTTTTACCCAGCCACCTATCCACCCACCCGTTCGTCCAACCAGCCATCCATCGACCTATCTACACTCTACACAAATCTATCCGCATCTACTTCACAATCTCTCCTGTCTCTCTATATTTCTATCTCTTCAGCTTATCTCCCTGTCTCACTTTCTCTCTGGCACTCTCTCCCCTTCTATCCATCCATCCATCCACCCGGCAACAGACTAACCTTAGACTAACCTGAGCGACTGTTTAATATACGTGTCTTTGCAACTGTCTTTCGACGTTTAGACCTCTCTTTCTATCTTTCCTTTCTTGTTTTCTTTAGAAAGCGCAACTGTCCTGTCACACAAAGTCAATGGCTAGACATGGCTACACCACTACGCTGATTTCCCGCTAGGGCCTCAAGGAACCAAGCCCGGTGTCATGCCTTGGTCGCTTTCTTCACTTAATACGCACGTCCCGACAAATCTGCTCAACTCCAGTGGCGCCGGACGGGAACATTTGCCACTGAAAGGTATCGTCCACATCTAGCTCTTGGCGAAGGCCTGGCGCAAGCAATTTAGCAACTTTCATGAGCAGCAAGGGGATCAAAACAAACTTAACTTACATATATAGGCGCGGTCGAGTTCTCTCATCCAATTCAGTTTCTACAAGAGAAAGCACATATATAGTATCTAGCTGTAGCTCATCAATTCTGGGTCTCCCGCAAACATCTTTCAGTGCAGCCTCTAGACTCTAGGCCAACACCGAGCAGGTGCAGGTGCGTCTCTGCACCCATATGGAAAGCATCATGTGTACCATATCAAACAAGATTGCATGTGGGTTCAATAAAAGCAAGAACAATGCACAAGAACTATGCTTGCGCATGCCTGTGCAACCAAGACACTGGAATTATTCTAATGATTGCTGACAGGTCGTCTTTAGCAACAATGTCCTACCAGTTTGTCGCTGTGATTTCAGGGCATCCTATCTTTCACAACAGCACGAATCTGCGCGAATCATAACAGGAGTTGAAAAAGGAATGCTGAAGCTGCTTCGGTGTTCTTTTCCTAAAGTGCCAAGGCAATGCGTTGATTGCAATGAGCGTCCTCGAATATGATGCGGATTCTAGCGAAGGAAGGATCCACGTCTGGCAAAGTTCGCTTTCTGCAACTTGAAATGTACTGCGCCCAGTGCCAGTGACAACTCAATGCCTTGCTGATTCCATTCTGGCTGGATAGCCAACCTGAGGCAGTTCAGAGTTCAATTGCTGAAACACCGCACTAAGTCTATGCGTCTGCACTTGGGCGCGGACATTTGAAGATTGTGCTGGTTGTTGAACTCTGGGTTTTGCCGTACTGGCGTATTTTTTTCCTGCATCTAGCAGGTGCTCACGCACAGTAGGTGTTGTAAAGCTTCAAGAAGGCAAGGTGCTGCGAAGCAACATGCAACATGATTACCCTTTGTTACAGTATATATCTTGAGACTGACTTGCCTATCCTGTGAAACAGTTGGGTTGCCTGGGTCTGCTACTCAACAAAGTTGCTCTTAAAACTTTGGGCATAGAATTAACGTTTGGCCAAAGGTTCTGAACTTGTAGCTGAAGGCTGTTTTTCCTTGCTGTTGTCAGGGCATGTCAAAAGTTGGGGTGTGCAAGAGTTCAACAAACCCCAGTCATCTTTGTTTCTGACAAAATGGCAGCGCGCTCCTTTTTCAGAGCGGGACTTGGGCCACGTCGGCCATGGTATGAACACTTCTGTACGTGTCATGTGTGTGGGCTGCAAATGTTTGACACCCCACCTAAAAAGTTGCATCTTCTTTTGCAACCTTTTTCAACATTCACCTTCAAGGGCGAATCTGGCAACTCTCTCCCGCCAATTGTCCTCATTGGCGGGACATCACAGCCACACAAAAGGCTGAAAAACCTTTCTTGTATGCATCGTCCCAGCCTAAGGGGTGGTCGAACCTCATGAAGGGATACCAATCCCCAAACTTACAGGTCAGTCTCGCCTGTACATACTGTGTGAACTGCGAGCGGGAAAACAAACCTGTCGTCAGCAACCTACGAGCTCTTCTTTCTTCATCTTCGCTCAAGTAGCGAATGCAGTTCTCAAGTTTGTTCCAATCTAGGGCTTCTGGTGGCTCTTCTCGATCGTAGTCCTGCCACAGGTAGTCATCATCTGGCAAGGTAGTGCCACTCTCCATCGGCACATCGGTGTAAATTACACCACCTCCATCTACTTCCATCTCTTCCACCCCAACTTCTTCATCTCTCTCGGAAGCTGTAGGCCTGTAATGCCTCCTGTACCCATGAGTCGGGCTCAGCATGAAATATTCTTCTCCACTTTCGGAGTCATCTCCGGATGCCAAAATTCGGTATGGCCTCAGTCGACGCAGTTCCGGATCCCAATCTGTGAGATACTGCTCGACTGTCACATCACCTCTGCTGCTTCTTTGCTCCTCTTCTTCTTCCTCCTCATCTCTTGGTCTGCGTCTTCTTCTGCTTTCTTGGGAAACTTCTTCTTCTTCATCAAGGCTTCCCTCTGGTCCTTCACGTTGTCGTCCAACTCTTGAACCGCCACGACTCCTTCTTAGTGGTTCTGGTAATGCAGGTGGTGGTTCACGCCTCCATTCACCACCTGTTGCTTCAACAGAAGCTCTAACTGCCCATTCTCTCAGGTCTAGTCCTGATCTTGTCGGTTGCTGGTCTTCATCTCTGTGGAAATCCGTAAACCCGTCACCTTGTACATCAGGCTTGACCCTTCTAAGCCATCTGGAAAGCATCTTCCACTTTGTATAGCCAACCCACACGCCAAAGCCCGCTATGGAGATCGTGTAGATCACAAACACCAGGATGTAGATCAGCCATCCATAGCCTTGGTAGGTTTGGCCATTGTTTTTGTCAGCCGTGAAGTTCTCCTCACTTTCATTTTCTGGCTGTCCATAGGCCCCAGGATGGAGAAGAAGCAAAGTCACCATTTTCACCATGGACTTTGAAATCTTCACTTTCGTTTCACTCTTCTCCTCCACCAGGGCAGAAATCATTTCATTCTTCACTTCTTTCATCTTCTGGGCAAGATTCTTCTTTCGCACCTCTTCATGGAAGGTCTCTTCTCCCACGTGGCAAAAGACTTGATCGGCGCCTTCTACATTCATTTCCATCACTTCAAGGTCTTCTTCTTGACTTCAAGTTGCATCCACAGATATCTTGTATCAATGCGCTTTAGGCGACCAACTCCAAGCCTTTCTGTGAAAGCTCTGCACGACGAGCTGTCGGTGATCGTTCTGATCATCACCTCTCTTGTCGTCAAAAACTGCCAGAGCTCCTTCAACTGTAATGCTTCGGCAGCCCCACCTTGCAGAAGCCAAGAATTCAGCCTCACATGAAGACAAAGCTATGCTCTTTTGAGATCTCGACCAGGCTGCTATCAGGCATCCATTCAAGAAAATCATCACACTGCTCACACTGTGCCTCCTTCGTTTCTGTGAGGATCTGTCTCCTGCCCAGTCGCTGTCACTCCAACTTTCCAGTGCATCAACATCATCTAAGCTGTCTGGCTGTAAGAGGATCTCGGCTTTCTTGCTCTTGTACTTGGTGTAGGGAAGCAAGATGCCATAGTGCTCAGTTCTCTTGAGGTAGAGAATGAGGTGCTTCAACTCACTTTCGGCCTTCTTTGTGGGACTGGCCATGAATTGGCTGAGGTTTCGGACACAATTTTGGATGTCTACTCTGTCTTGGGAGATGTATAGAAGTGTCCCCAAAGCTGAGCGAAACCGGTGTTGGTCCCCATCTGTCAGCACATCTTCAGGCGATCCTTCAAGATCCATCTGTGTGCTTTCTGGCGTCGCCTTTCCTGTTCGTTGGGACAAGTGGTAGAGCTCAACAAGACTTGGCACATACTTCTCATGAGGTGCAATCACAATGCCTTCTGCGCAGCGGACCGGTTCATTTGCTTCTTGATCAGGCTGTGGGAGTACACCTGATTCACTAATCACGAACTTGTTCCTCATCTTATCCAGGAACCATGCCAACTCCACTGCCGAACCAGCTACAATCAAATCATCCACATGACATACCATGCCCAGATCCTTCTCCTTGTGCCGGAAAAGGGAAGGTAGGGATAGGTGATTCTCCATTCCCAACTCTTCCAGAGCCACCCCCAAGTAGTCAAACCATCGTGAAGCTGCATCTCGTTGGCCTGGTAGGCATCCAGCCAGCCTCCAATATCTCTTGGCTCCACTCAGCTCTCCTTCAAGCTCTTCAGGTTTCCACCACGCAGGCTGTTCAACCAAAACCAGTTTTGTCTGAGGGACTAGCAAAAAGGCGTCCTTCACATCAATGAAGCTTAATCTCCATTGCAGGATTGCATGGGTCGCCAGCAGAAGCCTTGTAGCCGCCAAACTCGAAGTCGGAGCGAAAGTTTCCGATGTGGTTTGATCATGGCCTCGAAATTCTCGTGCCACATACCGGCATCGCCTTTTCCACTTGCAGTTCCTCACTCTCCAATCAAAGACAGACCTTGTTGCGAGGATGCTCCCATTCTCCAAGTCTGAAGTGCTGGGCTCCTTCAACACGCCCATGTCTAGCAGCCTCTGTATCTCCTCTTGTCCTGCAGCTGCCTCAATCCTCTCAAGCTCCATTGGCCCCACCTCCGGTGGAGTCCCTTCGTCAATCACCTCATCTGAGAAGAGTCCTTCTTCCAACCAGAGCATTTCATCCTCGTCGTCAAAGCCTGCTATCTCTTGCTCCATTGGAATTCATCCACAGGTCGATCCTCTACCTGTTGGATTCCACCAGCAAAATGCGGTGCATACAAAGAAGTGGGACTTGCCGACGGACTTGTTCTGGGTGCTTTTGTTCTACTCTCTTCAACTGTGCTGTCATCCACCATCTGTTCATGTTCACTTCATGGAAGAGGAAGTTCTGGAGTCATTGGTGCACGTTCACCCACATTTACTCTCTCCTCGTCGAGGCCTAGAGGTAGTGGAGGTACACGGACATATTTCTCTGCAGGCTGCTCTTCAAGTTCTTCTTCTGCAAGATGTTTACGTCCACGTTCATGGCCTGCACTTTCTTGCTGTGGTGTTCCTCCTGGGTGTTCTAAAGCATACCTCTCAACCTCCTCCGCATCAGGGTCTCGTCCTCCATAAGAATGTTGGCCCGTCTGTTCAAGCTCCTTTTCTGCCTCATCTAACTGATCTTTCGCTCGAGCTTTGCCTGGACCTCTCACTGGTCTTGGCACCATAGGTGTAGATGGCAAAATCCTCATGGGCCTCCTCTGATGCGGGTTTCTGAAAGGTTTGGCTTTCACCATGAACAGGTAAACTGATCGCCATGGCTCACTAGTTCGTCGAATTGCCTTTCCTCTCATCACCCTGTCTCCAGAGACCACCAAGTGTAGATCTTCTTCATTTGTCTTGCCAACCCAAATACCTGGCAACCATTGTGGGCCCTGCTTCATTCCTGGCTGTCGTTGGAGAAGCATGACGTACTCTCCGAAGCAAACCACTTTGCCTGCGTACCTTCTTCCAGTGGCTAGTTCGAAAGGAGTCGCTTGCAAGGCACGGTGCGCAGCAAATCTGTTTATAAGCCATGCGGAGTGCAGGTAAACCCATGACCATAAAGTGTGGCTTCCGTCCAGGGGGATGAGACACTTATCTTCAGTCATTTTCATCAGACACGAGGCCAGTTTTCTGAGCGTTTGGATTGCTCGCTCAACTTGACTCGTTTGTCCTTTCTTTTGGGAATTGGTCACTGTTGTCTGAAGACCTAAGCTGCGCCGAATCGTCTGGATGTAGCTCAGGAGGTTTCTCATGGTAGGTTCATTGTCACCGATGATCTCCACATTGCCATATTGATTGAGCGTGAGAGTGAACCTCACTACATGTTCGGCTTGTCCACGGAGATCAGCCCCTTTGCCTTCAACTGGCACTGCAAGAAGCTGTCTCAGCATCAACCCCCACAAGAATCGTCGTTAGCTCTGCCTTGTTGTTTCCTCCTGACCGACCATAGGTATAATCCAACTGCACTGAGGAGACCTTTCTTCTTCCTTCTACGGAGTGATCAAGTACTCGTTGATTATCATCTCGAGCTTTTGGTGCAACACAAAAGTCACACCAATCCCGATATGGAAGATGGGTGAGTTCACTTCCTCGCCAGGTTGCCTCGGGACGTTCACTTGAATCACTCCCTTCTGTTTGGCCTCTTCTTTGTAGAGCTTGTTGGCAGCCAAAAACAACTCCTCATACTCAAGCTGCTGCACTTTCTGATTCAGGCGGTTCCAAAGCGCTTTCTTTGAGCCACCTTTGCTCAGTCCCAAGTAGTCAGCTGCACCTTTGAGCAAAGCCGAAGAACTGTTGGCGTTCAGCTCCAG